TTCAGTCGGGGCGTTCAGTCGGGGCGTTCAGTCGGGGCGTTCAGTCGGGGCGTTCAGTCGGGGCGCTCAGTCGGGGCGCTCAGTCGGGGCGCTCAGTCGGGGCGCTCAGTCGGGGCGTTCAGTCGGGGCGTTCAGTCGGGGCGTTCAGTCGGGGCGTTCAGTCGGGGCGCTCAGTCGGGGCGTTCAGTCGGGGCGCTCAGTCGGGGCGCTCAGTCGGGGCGCTCAGTCGGGGCGCGACAGAGACGGAGCGACCAAACCCCTTTTCGGACTCACTCGGCAGCGAGCGAGGGCAGCCCCATTCCACTGCTAACTGTCCGACCCGACGGTAAACACCAGCGGACGCGCTGGACGGAACCTCCGGGACGAGACCACGTCAACAACAGTAACAAACAACAACACCGTCATCAGAAACATCGACACAAACAAAACAACAACAACAACAACAACCAGAATAACGACAACAATGACAAGCGTTCGTTCGCGCTGCCGCGCCAGTGGGCCAGCGCCGGGCTCGGCGAGGGTGATGGTGATGGTGCTTGTTGTGGCCTGGGCCCGCCTACCTGGTTCACGGTCCTGGCGCTCCGCTCGCTCGGCGCGCTGCGCGGCTCAGACGGTGGACGGCGTTGACGGCGTTGACGGCGTTGACGGCCTCTGGCGCCGCGGCCCCTCTGCACATGGCACTGGCAACCCAACCGGCACGCCGCGTGCTGCCCCTACGGCCTGCGACGCCCCGTGCCAGGGCCGCACAGGGAAGCACACTGGAAAGCCCTCGCCGCCTCGCGCAGCGTCGCGCAGCAGCAGGCTGGCTCGACCGGCCTGGTCTGCGCCACTGGCACACTCGCCCTGCGCGCCCTGCTCGCTCGCCTCACGCAGCGCTGGGGACCGAGGACCGAGGCGGCTGGCGGGACTGGGCTGGCGGAGGTTCGGGCGTCGACTGTAGCCTGGCGACGGGCGGCGCTGCTCGGCACGGCGTGGCGGGCACGGCGCGGCAGGCACGGCGCGGCGGGCACTCCTGGCGCCCCCACGCAGCGTCACGCCACGGCGGGGAGGGTCCACCGCGCCCCCCAGCATCCTCCCCCCGCGGCCTGGCTCCACCGCCCCTGCGCCGCCCCTGCGCCGCCCCGCCAGGCCCCGCCCCCACCCCGGCCGTTATCGAGCGCCTGGCATCGTGCGCCGTCTCGCTCGCACCCAAGCCGCCGGCCGCCCGGCCGCTCTCTCGCGGCGAGAGCGTAGAGCCCGGCCTGCCGTCCTGCTCGCACGGCCGCGCGCCCTCGGCCGCCGCCAGGCCGCCGTCTCGCTCCCACGCCCCTGGCGGGCCGGCCGGGCCTAGGGCCGGGCCCTGCCGCCTCGTTCCGAGGCGTTGCTTCTCTCTCGCACTCGTGGGCCATGCCGCGACGGCGCGAGAGAGACAGGGCGACGGAACCGCTCTTCGGAATGGCTCGGCTGCGCACGCCCGCGCTGTCGCGGTCTTCGACGTCTGTCTCGTTTTCGCCGCCCTCGTCCTCGCTGTCTGTCTCACGCCCTCTGTGTGTCAGTGAGTGTGCCTGCGAGCGACTGTGTGTCTGTGTGCGTGCCCCTGGCACACATCCACAGTAGAGAAGGGCGGAAGAGAGAAGGCTTGATGGAGTGGCGAAGAAGTGCGAGAGAGGGAGGACGCGCTGATCCGCTGCAGCGCGAACGCGAGCCCTTTGTGGCGCTAGACGGCGGATTAGGCGGTAGGCAAAATGGCCAAAATGGGGCACTGCTCTGTATATTCAGTTGCAGTATGGAGCTCCCTACCTGCTCTTTCCCCACGATGCCGACAGCTCAGCTCAACTGTACGTCAAGTGCAGCTCGGTGACGTGACCCTGGTTCGACTCCAGCCGACGCGACCAATTTCACTTCTTTTTCTTCATTACGAAGGTCAGGCGGAGAGGTCGGTCGGTTCGGGCAGTCCTCGGTGTGGTCCTCAAGATAAGAAGGGAAAGCCACGGTGCGATAAAAGACTCGTCGATTTATGGCGGGAGAAGAAGTACGAAGTACAGAAAATGCTGTAGCGGCCGCGATGTTTACGATAGCGAACGTTTTTTCCCATCGGCCACGGCGTCCCGCAGCGTGCCGCGACCCACGGCAAGCCGCGCCTCGGTGTCAAAGAGCGAAAACGTTATCTTCATTCGCGGCTCCTTTCAGTCGGAAGCAGGGCAAAGCGAGGCTACCCTGGAACCCCGACCACCCCGTAAACAAAACTACTATCAAAAGTAGTACTGTCGTACTACCATTTCGGAGCTCTGTACATCCCAAAATGTAGTACGGAAGGAGTACCTTATGAAACAAAAAAGGCATCCGAAAGAAGTACTGCCGTGCTACATTTCAGGACGTCTCTTTCGGGAGCACTTCGGGACGTCGGAAACGGTAGGTCTGTGAGAGGTCTTTCGGAGGTCCCCCACCACCCGTCGCAGCGCCCTGCGGCCATGTAGTTCCGAAGGTGACCGCTAGAGCGCGCACCTGTGTCGTAGTTCGATGGCCTGCCGCTAGGGTGCGCCACTGTTCCGGATATGAATGTGAATGCGTATAGGAATGTGAATATGACACAGATAAACTGTTAGGAAAAATGTATTTATTCACTGACCTTTTTAAATTAAAAATCAAACGATAAGACTTGTCACGAACAGCAGAAAATATGGAGACAAAAATGGTGGACAGGACTCAAAAACAAAATATTTAAAAGAGGAATCTCGGTTGGACTGAAAAGAAAATACAGCAACCATAACTGTAACACCCCTTGATTAAAAATAAGCCAAAATGACTGAAAGAAATTCAATTAGCACTGATTCCGAGGTGTCATGCTTACTTTGCTCTGTCGCAGGAAATTCACTTAATTTGACACTGAAGCACAGGAGTCAGTTCTTGTTCCACATGTAATTGCATAGTGGTGCAGGTTATCGTTCCAGAATCTTGGGCAACTCCAGTGGGTCAAGGTTTCCGCAAAGAGCCTATTTCTCAAGCATAAAATCAGAAGACGAACAAAATAAACACTTTGACAATAAGAGTATCAAAGTAACAGAATATTGTAGGTTAACTTACACCGGTACTTTCTGATTTGGATTGAAACACGAAATAAGCCTGCACCAGGCTTTGAAGTATTCTTCTTATTGGTGCACCTGAGAACTGAACATCTTCGTGCGTGGTTTCTTTTCTTTGGAGAAATGAATTTACTATAGTTAACAGAAAAATAAATAGAAGTAAGGATCCGACGCCACAAGCACAGTGCGCGCCAAAGTGCGCCGACTGTCATCTGCACAACAGGTGAGCATCGCGTGGGCCCGAGGCGCGCTCTAGCGGACTCACTCGGAACTACATGGCCGCAGGACGCTGCGACGGGTGTGGTGGGGGACCTCCCAAAGACCTCACATAGACCTACCGTTTCGGACGTCCCGAAGTGCTCCAAGAACCGACTACTTTGGGACGAGCGACCAGGGCGCGCTCTGGCGGCGAACTCTGGCACCACACACTAGGTCCCCGCGCGACGTACGAGAGAGCTTCATTTGTAGTACGTTTAGGGAGGTCCCGAAGAGCTCCCAAAACCGACTTCTTCGGGACGTCCGAAAGACGTCGGATTCCAGACATGTACTAGTTTTGTTTACGGGGCATTTCTGGCCCCCACCCCCTTCGCCCTCAGTGGTTTGTGAGTATTGCCTCTCGGTTCCCTGAAATGCGTCAAAAGACCCTCCGCCGGCCTCCGCCCCCGCCCGCTGCGTCCCTCGCTGCGCCTCGGGGACGCTTTAGTGTAATGAGATTGACAAGGAGGGCACGAGCCCGGCGAGATTCATCGTGTTGTGGGAAAGCAGGAAACGAGCGGGACGGGGAGGGAGCGGGACGGAGCGAGAGCGGGACGCAGCGGCAGAAAATGAGGCACGCAGTGCAGAGAGGCTTCCCGGAATCTCTCGCATTGGCGTTGGCTGCACGGTGGGAAACCGGCACAGTATCCGGAGCGTTCAACTTTTTAGTCCGCGATGGATTCCTTCGTGAATTAAGAAGTATTTTCTTTGATCGCTTATGTGTGTGTCTTCATTTTGTTTGGAGTGTTGTTGTTCTGTGTTTTCTTCCTTCAGGTGAATCAGTAACGTGAAATGGTACTCGCCATGTGTGTGCAACCCAGTGCAGAGACCTCGTCCACCGATTACGCCAAAGGAGGATGGAGTTGAAAGGGATGGAGTCTAAGGGCCCCGGGCCCCGGGACTGGCCTAGAACTAAGATGAATGGTCCACCGCGGAGACGCGGAAAGTTCTTCTCTCCGCAGCCTTGCCTGGCCCTGCCTCCTCCGCGGTCTGGGCCCGAGGCGGCCCGAGGCGCCGGGCCGGCGTCCCGCCCGGGAATCAGTCATCCATTAAATGTCCCACCCTGGATGGATGCACACCGCGCCGTTTTCGGCTACTTTCTCATCCCGACGAGGTGGGGAGACACTTGACGTATTGGTGGCGTTCTGGGGGGGAAGCTCGCGCCAGCGATCGGGTAGCAGGTTCGTGCTGTGGACGCTGCCTCGCCTCGCCCAGCGTATTGACAAGTTTGTCTTTGTGGCTGAAATTGCAATACCTCGGGCTCTAGTCGGGGAGAGGCCGGCAAGGCTTTGCTTTTATGCACTGCCTTATGAAAACCAGTCAGCGAGAAAATGTGGTGACCGCCAGCCAGGTGACCATTCGCCTTGTTTGTCCGAAGCCCGAAAGGGCCAAAAGGGCCAAAAGGGTCAAAAGGGCCAAAAGGGCCAAAAGGCTCAAAAGGGCCAAAAGGGTCAAAAGAGCCAAAAGGTCCACCAGCAAAGGGCGAGGGGGTCCGGACCTCAAGGCCCTTCCAGGAAGGCCCTCTGGCCGCACAATGGCGCAGTACCATTAAGATGGGACTGGTGGCGCCACAGCGGTCGCCCCCCGAACCTTCCTTTAAAGAGGACTCGAACGAGGCGGCAGCTCCACAAACAATGTTTTCGTACTGTTTTTGTGGTGGATTCTTTGGAAAAATAACTCGACTCTTGTTGTTGTTTGCTTTAATGTACCTGGGTGTTGGAGTGGACTGGGGGATGGCTGGCTCGTCTAGCCCGTGAAGCAGGAGACGGCATTCCTGGCGTCGGGGATGCTGGCGATGCCCGCGCAGGCCGCGTAGGTGCCGACGCCGATGAAGGCCGACGGGGAGCAGCCGATGGCCTTCTTCAGGAGGCTCTTGGGCACGCCCTTCTTGACCAGGCAGTTGCCCTTGTCGCTCATCACGTTGCCGACCTTCGAGACGAGCTTCCCGAAGTTGAAGGGCTTCGGCTGCGGAGCGGCACAGCCCATCTGTCGAAAGGCGTTTGGCGAGGTCAGAAGTGGTCAAGACAGACATTGTTTTGAGGTTGCGATCGTTTTATGAAGACGGAAAAACTGATTTTAAAACTGTTTCTGAGTAAGGAATTTTTGTGAGCTTTGGAAATGGCTAGAAACGTCATCACCTGTCTCTTCATTCATGAAGTTAACATACTGCATAAGTGACGAGTAATAAGTGTGTTCGAGGTAGCAGCTTGGTGGCATGAATCCATCCAACAAACCTGAGCCAGAGCCACAACGGCGATGGCGACGAAAAGCAGCGAAATCTTCATGGTGCTGTGTTGTAGTTGTCTCAGCTCAGGTGACTGCGACTGAGGAGTGCTGAACATCGCCTTATAAAGTACTCTGAGGACACGACATTTCGGGAATTCGTGAGGTATAAAGTTGCGCTTAAGGCTAAAAAGCTCACGCTCACGGAGTAGTGCATCACACACTTCACAACTAGCCATCAACTTAGTACACACTTACAAATGCGTTCTTAACCAAGCCAACAAATATAAGTTGATACCCGGCAAGTACTCACTTACAACTGCATGATTGTCCCGTAACACCATGCAAAGCAACTACGATCACAAGTGGGCACTTGAGTATGCACTCGTAAGTGTGGACTTAGGCGACGGTTAGGTTTGTATAGTGTGCCGTTGCGCGACAGGATGTGAATCCTGCAACACTTACTGCGCCGACTCCTCACCTCTTTCCTCGGTAGCCCAGCTCACTCACACATGCTCGACGTCCACCTGTGGTGATTTGCATGTTCAGTCGTGACACAGTACACTCAAAAACTCCGAAGCCAATGAAAAGGTAAGGTCCGATGACGCACGGTCGACGCACGGTCGTCGTTTGACGTTGCTCACGTTGCTCGAGTGGCGATACGTACTTCAAACTTACACCACAACATTGTGGGGTGTTGTCAGGCAGTTGCTGTTTTCACCGGCAGCATGCATGAACATTGCGGCTTCCCTTCTGTGAAGTGGCACCCGGACGGGCCACGCGGGAAGGAGTCCCTCGGGCGCGGGGTCTCGCCGGGACTGCACCGTCGGGCGACCCGCCGGCGCTTCTCCCTACTTCGCCCTATCTTCGAGACCCTGCCTAGCTCGGTGTGCAAAGGGCCGCGTCAGGGTAGGCAGACTGGAACCGTCAGTGTGCCAAGGCGGCTGCTTCAAAAGCATCAAGTCGTGTGTACACTAGGCCGATTCAGTACCGCTCACCCGAAAAAGACGTTTCGTGAAGCAATAAAGGTGTCTTGCAAGAAAGTGACTTTTATGGAACTGACCCAATGTAAAAACGATTCCAAAGTAAATCCCGTCCGAATGATGGCTGTATGATGGCTGCTTGGCATACAAACCCTGAAAAACTTTATTGTGGAAAAGTATTACTTACTTTCAGACTTTTTAGAACTCATTAGTTTTTTCTGGAATCAGCTGCTGGAGGTACATTGCTGTTGTGTATTCCCAAAGCGTATCCACCAAAAGTGAGCGTGGATAGATATAGCAACCATTGACACACTCGTCGTCACGTGATCACTACGTGACACGTGACACCAGCAGTGGGGGACGGTCGTGACGGGAGTGCGCAGGCGACCTCGCAAACGTGATCACACTGTTAGAAGGTGCTCGGAGACTGTTGATCTATCGCCGCTTACTCCCCAGAGCGTAGAGAGAAAACATATCCCATGCATTAAGGTGAGGGCCGGAACGGAGAACTTACACTTGAAGCCAAGCGCAGCAACCTCTACGCGTCAAAGCGCGCGCTTCAGCTCTTCGGTGTCATCCACCGCCGCGACCAGCGCTCCTGCAGGACGCCCCGCGGGATCTCACCTGCGTGGAGAGCGTCCTGGGCGGGGCGTTGCCGATCCGCGGGGGAGCCAGTCCGATTGCCGTGGGTCTCTGGGGGCCCCGGGCGACCCTGGACGGCGACCCTGGACGGGTCCCTTCGTTCCTTCTCGAGTTCGCGGATTGATTCGGCACTGCCCCGATCCAGACACGGCTCTCCAATTAATTGGTTCGTTTCACTTTTCAAGTTTGGCTCCCCAATAACGGAGGGAGAGGGGAGGAAAGAGTGAGGGGGAGGGGGGGGGCACGGTATGGCAGCGCAACGCCAATTAGCAGTGTCGTCATCAAACTAATTGGGGGCGACATCTGAACGCGACATCGACACACCGACACACAAACCGGTACATCTATACACGCCCCCTCCCTTTTCCGCGGCGTGGACACACATACACACACACACACACACCACACACTCGAATTGATCGCTTTTCCGGGGACCATGCCGCTAAACCCGCTCTCCAACAGGATAACCCGCGTGCCACCCTTTAGGTCCTCATGGAGGCTCTGAAGTAAAAAAGATGTCTGTTCCGCCTACTAAGTTTCTCATGTTATGTGGGCAATTGTCCGCTTTATGTGGTGGTAAGCATGGCGCAAGGTGGCAAATAATAAGAAAGAGTCGTTTTACTTGGGTGGTCTATTTCGTTCACAAAGTTAACAATCTCCTGGTTTCCTGTTACTAAATCTTAACATGGCTTTAAAGTTTAAAAAGTCTGTGGCGATTCTAACTGGAAAGTGAAATGTGACATTTTGGGTTAGGGCCTGATACCGCAGCAATTAACAAAAAGTCGTCGAAATGGAAATTACCGCATTACGGAAAGTTGCATTTCTACTTTAATGTTATGCTATAACTACTAATACGAAACAATATCTATTTCTGTAAGTCACAAAAATACAGCGAAGACATGTTTAGCCGAGAAAAAGCTCACCCTGACTGCCTTCCCACACATCACGTGCGTATACGTGTCTCACTACTGTCCTCTTCTTCAAGGACGTGCCCCCACTCCGACCTACGTTCGTCCTTCCAAACCTAACCTCTAACACGAAATGATCTTCGACAGCGGCGACAGCAGTGACTCGTTCATGACCGTGGCGATGTGTTGCGCGTTGGCGACGAAATGCCGCGTCTTGTTCTCGTTCTGCAAAGAAAGGCAAGGCGGTCAGAATGAGGGTCCGTCGGGTAAGCCTGGCCAAGCCAGGGCCCTCTGCGGGCGTTCGCTCCACTCACCAGTATCGTGCTCTTGACTTGCTCCTCTTCGTGGTGCCGGATGAGGTGCAGGGGGCCGGCGATGTGGTCGGCCTGGTTCCCGATGGCCTTGGCGAGGTCGCCGCCGACCTCCAGCAGGGCGAGGTGCACCACCTCCTGCCAGTTGGGCCTGCCCGCCTTCCGCTCCACCAGGGAGGCGGCGCTCAGCAGCATCTCGGCGCTCTCGGCGTCGCCGCACAGCGCCCAGGGCCCGCGCGGCTGCAGCAGCAGGATCTCCTGCGGACCGCGCGTTCGGTTACAACGTCGCTCGGTGACAACGAGGTGGCCGTCGGTCGACCGTCAGTGCACGGAAGTTACCTGCGCGAGCAGCTCCGCGGTGAGGTCCCCGGGGCAGCCGACGAGGAGGGGCGACAGCAGGCCGGCCGCCGTGTCGGCGAGCAGGCTGGGCGTGAGGCCGGGGCCGCTCACCGCGAACAGGGGTAGCGGCTCGAGGCGGTGGTGGCGGTAGCGCAGGCGCGGCGCCAGGGTCGCCACCTCCACCATGCAGCGGCCCTGCGCCGCCCTGCTCGCGCGCAGCTTCTCCACCACGTCCCCGCGGAGGGAGCGGTACGTCGGGGCGCCCAGCGCCACTCGGCAGTCTGCGGGAAAAGTCACAGGCTCAAATCCAGATCGTTTCAAATGCAAAACAAAAAACTTTAAAAAGTTGTCTTACCAGTGCCTTGCTGGTAGGCCACGACGGCGGTCGGAAGTTCGCTGATGGTGAGCAGGCTGGGCAGGAGTTTGGCGACCTGGCGGGCGTCGCCGACGAGCGCGCACGCGGGCAGCCCCATGAGCCGCCACTTCTCCACGGTCTCGGTGCCCAGCGCCAGGCTGTCCGTCAGCACCAGCAGCCGCACTCCCCGCATCGCGCCGTTCACCGACGGCAGCGCGGCGTTCAGCAGCGACGTCAGAGTGCGGTCCGCGGCGTCCTGGAACACCGAACAAGGAACATGGAACATCGGCAAGGCGGGGAGCGCGCGGCCTGGAGAGCGCCTGGAGAGACGCGGCTAGGCAACACGCAGTGGTCCCGCGCCAAGTATTGCCTAGCTGCCGGGCGCTCGGGAAGGGTCCTCACCTCCAGGTTGATGACGATGGCCTTGAGGCCCTCGGCCTTGGAGGCGAGGTTGAGGAACTGCTTGGTGTCGGCGTGCGCCTTGGGCAGCGGCACGAACGTAGTCTGCCGCATGGCGGGGACGAACCTGGCCCGGGCCGCCGCGGCCGAGGCGGTGGTGACGTCCCTGTGGGCCGCGAGCACCACGCTGGAGCCCTTGGCGGAGGCGGCGCGCGCCAGAGTGACGAGGGAGTCCACGCGGCCGCCCAGGATGGCGAAGGCCGCGCCCGGGGGCGACGAACCTGGCCGTCGCGGGGCGCTGACGCCGGTGGCGCTGGTGGCTGTGCCGTCGTGCAGGCAAACCAGCTGCTTGGTGGCGGCGGGCAGGGGGCTAAGGCACAGGCTCAGGGTCAGTGACCGTCCGCCAACCAGGCCTGCTTCGCCTGCCGCGCGTACTCACGTCTTGACGTCCTCGACGGAGTCCACCATGCACGCACGCAGCGGCTTCACCACCCCCGTCGTGATGCCCTCCAGCACCGCGCCCCGCACGGCGTGCTTGTCCCGCGGCGTCATCCTCAGCAGCCCCTCGGGGCTCACCCCGAACAGTTCCGTCGAGATAAGGAACATGTGCAGGCCTGGCAACACGGGAGCGGTCAAACGAAGCCGACATCGGGAAGGCGGCCTTAGCAGTGCAGCAAGTGCTCACCGATGTGGTGCGCGAGGGCGTTCTTGGTGGACGTCGTGACGATCCTGGTGTTGAGGGACGCGGACCTGCAGATCAACTCGAGGATGTGGTCGCAGTAGGGCACCAGCGCCACATTGACCCCCTTGCTGCCCACCATCTTGATGATGTGGTAGTTGAAGGCGTTGCTGTCGTGGCGGAGGACGCGCTCGGCGGGCACCTGGGGGTTCAGGGTGAGCACCTCCCTGCGCTGCGCCTCGTTGCCCGCCGTGGTGAAGACGGTGCAGCCGGTGGCTGAGGCCAGTCGGATGCAGGCCTGTGCCACTGGCGACACGCCGCCCACCACCAGCACGTTCTCGCCGGCGCGGGCCTTGGCCAGCACCTTGAGCATGTGGTACGCCTGGCGGCAGCAAGCAAGCGGATTAACAAGGCGGCCCGAGAAGAACATGATTCGCGCCAACAGGGTCCCCGCGGCTCACCATGGCGTAGGCGAGGGGCACGGTGGCGGCCTCCTGGTCGCTCCACTCGGCGGGCACCGACCACTGCAGGATGTCGTCCGCCACGGCGGAGACGCCCTGGGCCGACTGGGCCAGGCCCATGACGCGTGCGCCGCCGCGCAGACCGCTGTAGTCGAACGGACCGCGGATGGTCTGTCGAGAACAGAACGACAAAACACGTAAAGAAATTCTTGGAACTAATTCAAAACGCAAGCCGACGCGTGCATCTCACGTACCGTTAAATCGTCAGCAGCGTGGAGTCCGAGGTAGTGCACCTGGGTTCCCTCAATCCTTTAGAAGGTCAAAAAAAAAATAATTGAGAAACCAACACACACTACTCGGTAGCGAAGACAGGGCAGCTGGAAAGACGGCTCTACCTTGTCGGGATTGGTGGGACGTCGCTGAACTTGGTGATGTGGCACTCGCTCCAGCGGCCGTCCTGGAGGACGTTGACCATCAGGCCCAGGTCGAGACGCTCCTTGAAGATGCCCTTGGTTAAGGAGAACTCGGGAGCATCGTTGTCCGCGATGACGACGATTCTGAAACGAGGCCGAGTTTTACGGTGTGTCTACCAGGCCATGGCTCTGCAGGGCCTTGACGGCCTTGACGGTTCACCTTACCGTGCTCTGGCGCCGTAGGGTTTGCCGCGTACGCTGGCCACGGCCCCGAGGACGCCCTCCCTGGGCAGTCCCTTCCACACCAGGACCACCTTGCCGTTGACGGGCACCTCCAGGTCTGCGGGCACGGGCTCGTCGGTCTTCACGTGCACTACGCGAGTATCCTCCTCCGACATGTCGTGGGACTGCCGGGCAAAAAGGACGCATTTATAGTGGCTCAGAGACCGCCGCTGCAACGGGTAGTTGAACCACCGACCCTCACCTCAATAAGCAGCGACAGGGAGCCGTCCGCCGAGGTGTTGGTGGTGAGCTGCACGAAGCCGTCCAGACCGGTGCGTACGCCACAGCGCAGCGCCATGGGCCTGCTGATGGAGGCCGTGCCCTCGAGGTGCTCGATCACCCTGGCCGTCTGCTTGGACCGGAAGTCCGTGACCAGGACGACGGCGCCGGCCACCTCCTTGGGGATCGGCGCGCCGGGCCGCAGCAGCACCTTGCGGACCTGCGTGGCGGTGCCCACCACCTCGCGGATGGCCTGCTGCAGCGCGGAGGCCACGGCGTCGCACTCCTCCTCCAGCACCAGCACGCTGAAGTCCTCGGCCGTGTCGCTGTTCTGCACGCGCAGCATGGCCACCGACTGCAGGAACTCGGCCGTGTCCTGGGGAGGGAGCGTCAGCCTTCAGTCTGCTTGACCAGTCAAGTCAAGCGCCGAGCCCGGCGATGGAACACTCACGTGATGCGCTGTCTTGAGGGGGCGCACGGCCACGTCGAGCACGGACATGGCGGTGCTGGCCTTGGTCTCGGCGCGGCGGTAGCCCACGATGTTGACGCCCGGGCCGACCAGCACCCCGGTGTCGATGTCGTGGCGGATGGGCAGCGCTGGAAGCGGACAAGCTGCTCGTCAGGGAGAGGTATTCTTTCCAGTGTCCTCTCTCCGAACCAGCACCTACCGTTGCTCACGGCGCGCATCCCCTGCGGCGCGATGGTCAGCTTACGGATCTTGCCGCAAAAGATGTCGCCCTGCTTGTCCGTGACGATGGCCAGCTGGAACAGGCTGTCGATGAGGCGGTGCCAGCTGCCTCCCCAGCGAGACACGCCCGATGTGGCTGCAAAAGGGCCGTGTTCATGTTTTGTTGTTGTTTTGGAACGCTTTCCGCCAGTGCCCGACTACGCTGAAAGCAAAAATTACCGTTGTCCTTGAAGGAGACCCGTTGCAGCACCCTCAGCTCGTCGTCGTATTTGATGTCGTAGTCCTGGAGCTCGTCGTAGATGTCGTCCCCTTCCAGGGTGAGGGTGCCCTTGGGCACGTCCAGGTCGGCGGCGTGCACCGAGGCCATGCCCAGCAGGTCCTCGGGCTGGGCCGCCTGCACCACGCCCTTCACGATGCAGGGCATGGAGTTGTCGTCCTCGGCCGACAGTGCCATCTCGAACCAGCCCGTCTCCCTCTGCAGCTGCAGCTCCACCACCATGTTCTCTGCGGGGGAAGGGAAGGGGGACAGTTGAACCAGGAACCAGGCGCCGCTCCAAGGAGGGTCGGCGAGGAGAACTCACCTTTGGCGGACGACTCGACCGGGTTGATGAACTCCAGGTCGGAGAAGATGACGGGGCACGACACGAGGGGCTTGTTGTCGGCCAGCTCCTTCCAGACGATCTCCAGGAAGGTGGAGGGCGCGGCGCAGCGCTTGCCGGCCTGGGCGATGCACGCCGTCGTCTCGGGGTACAGCGGCACGGTGCGCGGCCGGGTCGTTTGGCTCTGCGGCACGAGGAAAACCAAGTGTTATGACAAGCCCCCCACACTCCGGACGAAAATGGCTGTCGCATTGTGGCGATTTCAAGTCAAATTTTCCTAGTGTCGGCTCACCCTGGTGTTGATGACGAGTGGCCACTCCTCTCGGTGGTCCCACGACGCGAGAGTGTTCAAACTTGGCGTGCCTCGCGAAACGGGCATGGAGACCTCGGGAGCCAGCACCCAAGGCTTCACGGGCACACACTCCATGAACAGTCTGAAACATAAATACACTTTTACTTTGGGGAACCGTAGGCTACGGGATACCTTCTCTTTCTCGGAGCGACTCGTTAAAAGTCGTGCGACTTGGAAGGCGACTCACTTCCCAACGCTCTCCAGCAGGAACCTGAGTCCGTCGCGGTGGCCCCTCTGGGTGAGCGAGAAGGTGGCGGCGCCCTCAGGCAGCCCCCTGCGGATGAGGGGCTGCATGAGGCCGTGCGGGGCCAGCTCCACCACCACGGCCCCGGCCGGCACGCTCTTCATGGCGTCCTCGAAGCGCACGGGGCTCAGCAGGTTGTTGGTGAAGTACTCGACGCTCGCATACGCCAGCTCGGGCTTGTTCTCGTCGCCCGGGTTGATGGAGGACGACACCCAGCGCGCCGACCGCTTCTTGGGTGTCTTTATGACCTGCAAGCGGCACAAGAACCACCACTCTGTTGTGTCGTCCCTTCAATCGTATCCAAGTAAATGTACACAGCCCTGGTTCAAGGAACACTAACTGCGAAGTAGCCATGCACTTTGAGCGCGCGTCGCCCCTTACTTTGCGGAGGTAGCTCTCGAGGACCGGGCCGGCGGGCTGGACGTATCTGCTGTGGAACGCGATGTTGGACACGTTAACGGTGCGCGCGAACACGTTCTTCTCCTTGAGCTCCTCCACGAACTGGTCCACGTCGGCCGTGGGCCCGGAGATGGTGCAGTTGTCGGCCGAGTTGTGGCAGGCCACGTCGATGGTGGGGGGCAGCACGGCCTCGGCCTCGGCGCAGCTCATGCCTGCAAGATGGAAGTTTCAAGCTTCCCGTCGACAAACTAAAATCCTCCCCGGGCTTGTGAAGTGTAGCTCACCGATGGAGGCCATCATGCCCCTGATGAGAGGCTTCTCCAGCGAGGCCTTGCCGCGCGCGTACGCCGCCCTCAGCACCTCCTCCTCGGACATGCAGCCGTCGCCGTACGCGCAGCCCAGCTCCCCCGTGGAGTGCCCGATGATGCCGTCGGGCTCCACGCCCAGCTCACGCATCACGTTCGTCAGCCCTATCTGCGCACACCGCCAGCACCGTCAAGACAGCGTTAAGACTGCCCTCTGTCTCCCTCGCACCCAGGCCACGCCCCGAGCGCGAGGGAGACAGAGCAACATCCTGGTGCAAGTCAACAGCACGAAGGTCGCACCTGGATGGCGGCGATGCTGATGAAGGCGTGGATAATGTTGTCGAAGTGGCTGCTGTCGTCGGTGGTGAGGGTCTTGGTGAGGTTGATGCCCTCGGGCTCCAGGATGGGCTGCAGGCGCGCGATGGTCTCCGCGAAGATGGGCAGCTTGAGCAAGCCCTTGCCCATGCCGGCCCACTGACTGCCCATGCCCGAGTACACGAACCACACCGGCCTGTCTTTGGCGTCAGCCTCCTAGAAACGTGCAAAGCGCGGTTATGTCTTTGTCCGTCTCAGAGCGGATTGGGTATTTTTCTCGCGACAGTGTGCTGCACCTTGCTGGCGATGAGGGGTCGCATGCCGGGCTCGTCCGAGGGCAGGATGGTCATGGCGCGGGCGGTGTAGCCGATGATGGGCTTGGAGAAGGCCTGCTGGGTCAGGCGGATGAACTCGGGGTCGAACGGCGTGTCGATGACCTGATGGAATCGTTTTGGTTTATCTCTGTTTTGCCTTTTGCAGTGCCGTCCACTCTCGTCTGCTTGCCTTTTCGACCACGCTCACGGCGTCGTCCTCGGTTCGGCCGGACACCACCACGAGCCTGGGGTACTGCTTGCTCTCCTCGCTGGGCGGCACCTTGACCTTGGTGTTGGGCCTGAAGATGGAGTGCGCGATGCAGCCCGAGTAGCCCAGGGCGTTGACGGCCAGCACGGAGCTCTCGTCCAGCGCCACGGGCTGCACCTCCTTCACCACCTGCACCCTGCCGTCCTGGAGGGCGGTCGCGTCGGGGTGCGGCGTGGTGAAGTCCTTGAGGGGCGGGATGACGCCGCGCTCCATGGCGGCGATGGAGTGGATGATGCTGATGAGCGCGCCCACCGCGTCGCCGTGCCCCGCCACCGCCTTGGCCGCGGACACGGGCAGCCCCGAGCGCGTGCGGCACAGCACCGCGGCGGAGGCCTCCATCTCGTCGCGCTCGATCTCCTGCAAGGAGGCCCCCGTCGTGTACGCTCCGCCACGTCACTTGAAAACCGAACAGTTGGATCCAATCTTACCGGGATGGAAATGCCGTCGGAGGTGAGCAGGGCGACGTTGTTGACGTCCACGCTCTTCTCCCGGTACAGGTCCTCCATGAGCGGCGACAGGGCCAGCGTGTCGACGCCGAGGAACCTGGAGCGAGTGCCGCGGCACACCTCTCTGACGCCGCCGACCCTGGCGTACACCCTGTTGGCCAGGTCGGCGCGCTGCAGCAGGAACACCACGGCGCTCTCGGAGCGGAAGCAGCCGGTCGCTGTGCACAAAGACAAAGTTCGTGCAACTCGACGTCTCGCATGGGTCAACCGTCCACCGCGCTGTGCCACTCACCGCTTTCGTCCAGAACGCGGCACAGGCCGTCCGTGGACAGGACGCCCAGGTTCTCGTAGATCTTGTTCAGCTCCGGGAACAAGCAGGTGTTGGCGGCGCCGACCAGGGCGAAGTCACTCTCGCCGGTCTCGATGGAGTGGGCAGCGCGCTGCAGCGCCACCATCGCCACGGTCCAGTCGCCGTCCAGGGTGACGCTGGGGCCTGGCGGCAGATTCAAATCATTTCAACTTTCCGTGTTTCCCTTCCTGTTTTGGCCACCTTGAGCTGCGTTTTGCTGAATCTCTTACCGTTGAGGTTGAGGCAGTACGAAATTCTGTTGGACATCATCGTCTTGCTGCCGGCCATGATGGCGTACCCGGAGTCCTTTTTCGCGTGCAGGATTGAGGTGGTCCTTGACTCCGACTCCGACACAGTCGTCGTCATGAAGACACTTGTGTACGTGTTTTCTATATCTTTGGGTGCCAATCCTGAAAAACGAAAAAAACATTAAGTACAACTTGTTTTCTTTTGTTTTTTCGAAAGTTCGGAAATGTTGGTAGTGACCTGCGTCCAGAACAGCCTCCATGGACCTCTCCAGCATGAGACGGGCCATGGGGTCCATGAGGCGAGCGAGCGGCCTGTGCACTTTGAAGAGGTTGTTGTCGAAGCGATGCGTATTGGCGATCTTGCCGACGTGAGGAGAGGTTCCCAGCAGACCTGGACCGAAGGGCGAGGCAAGGCGTCAGTCCCACCACATCCAGGCATTCGCTCGGACAAGACCCGCGTTGCACTCACCCGGTTTCCAGCGAAGGTCGTCGACTGAAGAAAGGTTCTTTCCATCGAGCAGGTTGTCGATAAAGTTTTGCAGGCCTTCACTCTGTGGGAATGCTCCCCCGATCCCCGAAATTACGGCCTCGACGGGCGCCATGGTGATGTGTGGACCTGCAATTCAATAGTTAAATTGAAACTTTTCAGTGTTTTTAATTTTAATGGTATACACAGTTTAGTACTTGACTATTTTAACAGTGTGTCGCCTAGTCCCTAGGTGGGCTAGCACAGAGGGCAATGCTTAGGCGTCACTGACCAGCCCCCAGAACAGGCACGCCACTGCACGCCTCTGCCCCGGCGCCGAGGAAGGGTCGCGGCCCGGCAGGATAATGAAATCAGGGATTCAGGGTCCGAGGTAGTGGGCCCACCCAGTTTGGAATGCAGTACACAGGAGTGCACCGCACTGACGCCGGTCGGGGCGCTACCTCTGGTAAGTTTCCTCCGTCCATTGTCCAAGGTGACAAAATTTTGCACTCGTCACCTCAAATAGTCCCAGTGCAGACAGTGGACACAAACAAAGGCACTCCCCTTCCCCTCGCCGGCCCCACCGGAACCGCATGTATAAGTGTTGGACTTGTTGACAAGAAGGTCGAGTGGTTACAATGTCGCCGGGCCTAGCCGGGCCGCACGCACAGTCTGAGCGATTTGACCCCTGCGGCCCGCGCCGAGCACCCCGCCTTGACATTGCATTGGACTTCCGTCCCGCGCCGTCCCTCCTCGATCTAGCCACTTCTCCCTCGCACCGTTGAGTCACTGACCGGATGGGGGCACGAAAAAAATACTTTGGTGTGGTGATCAACTTTGTTTCGAGGCCAATGGCTCAAAAGGCTAAAAGGCTCAAAAGCCTAAAAGGCTCGAAAGGCTAAAAGGCTCAAAAGGCTAAAAGGCTCAAAAGGCTAAAAGGCCCAAAAGGCTAAAAGGCTCAAAAGGCAAAAGTCCGGTACCCACAACCAAAAGCTGGTTGCTATGACCAAACGTCTTTAAAAGGAAAACTAAGCTGGGGTTTGTAGTCGTCACACAAGTGCCCGGTCGTAGCGACCGGCTTTCGCTTGTAGGGTTCAGATTTTCCATTGCAGCTATAGAATTCGGCTCGTCGAACAAAGTTGATCACAAAGTCTTTTGTTTTTCGGGGGATTTGGCCGGTAGATTAGCGTAACTAATCTTGGCGGCCAGCCTGCGGGCTGGCGCGAGCAAGCGGTGTTTTCGTTGCCGCGTCTCCCTCGCACTCGGGCGACACCGGGGCAGAGTAACGGAATGACTGTTCGAAACCACTCTGCTGACCTTCACCTTGCGTTTAGCCAGCCAGACGGTTCTTCATCCTCCGCACAAATCATCACTTGGTCGATCCTTAGAGATCGACAACGCTCTTTTTTTTCTTCTAAATTTAGAGAAATGCCAGCCAGGCGGTCCCACGAGCTAAACTATCGCTAGTGAGTTGGTATGGGATTTGGATTTTACATAATGCCCAAAGAAAGCTACTAACCAAGGAAAGCCCTTGGATGCTGAACGAGCTGCATGTCTGGATGCACATTACCGTAAACTGGGATAACTTGCGACACACTTAAAACAACATTTTTGGTCACTAAGAACGCTATCACAAAAACCAATGTTTCTTTTCTTGTTGATACTCAAGTGTCTCATGTTACCCCTGCTGTTTCAAGCTACCCCTGTTTACGGTACGTGTTTTGTCTTTATAGCTCAGCATATATTTGCATACATACAAGAATACAGCACTTATGATAAAAAGATACTTCTGATAAACTAAAAGTAAGCTTTCAGAAGATAAAGTTATTTAGTTCTCTAGAAAACTTTAGTTATACGGGAAGCGGACATTTCGAAGGTTCGCGATCGCCCTATGCCTTCGCTCAAGGAAGTTTCCACTGAGCCCTTGAGCTTCCCACGGAAAGCAGTCCATTGTGGCTCAAAGACGTGGGAGACCGCGAGGCGGTGGCTCATTGCAGCACTTTCAGGTTGGAGCTTAGAAGTCAAGTGCTCTCCAGTAACTTGCCGCCCGTGCCGGTGCGATGCGAAGATGTCACTCTACTTTACCTAGATCGGCGCCAGTCGAAGTGGTGCTCCTAGCGCTGCTGTTCTATCCCTGTGCGCGAAATCCAGTTAACTCTCTGCTCGGCCTGCCGGTAGTGTGCCGCGCGTTGCTTGCGCCTTGCTTGTGTGGGACTACGAGTGGCCCAGACATTCCCTCGAATGGACTGGGCGATGCCCGCCCAGGTTGGGGTGGGGGCGGGCAAGGGGCGGGCAAGGGGCGGGCAAGGGGCGGGCAAGGGGCGGGCAAGGGGCGGGCAAGGGGCGGGCGAGGGGGCAGCATGGACAGGAATTAACTGCATCAATTGTTCCCACCCATTTACATTGCCGAGTGGGGGTAAGGCTTGGGCTTGGGCCCTGGGCCCTGGGCCCTCGGCGGCCCTCGGCCCTGTGTCCAGGAAGGCAGGTGTCTCGACGGACAGAAGAAAAAACTCTGCTCGCTCAAAAGTCTCGAAATTCCTACAAGACAGCGAAGAGCGTGTTCGAACCGCGAACTTGTGACTAGTGACACGGAAACCTGCGAGGCATTTGGCTGAATTGTATTACAAACGCTCACCCCACGATTACAAAAATAAATAGTTCGTACTAATAGGGAACACTTTGTTTGTAAACAAGTCGTAAGCTTCAGAAGAAAGTCTTCCCAACACAACAACAGAAATAATGCCACCTCTAAGTTTATTTGAGGCCTCGATTAAAAATAGGATGAAGCCTGGTGGGGTAAAAGAAATTTCCGGCAACGGTCTGATTAGACGGAACCAAAATTGCCTTTGACATTGGTCGATAGTTGAACCCGGGATAGTGGCGTCTCGTCGCGGCGATCGGCTCGTGTTTTCGCGAGGTCAACAGCCTACGGCAGCCTACGGCGGCCTACGGCAATTGCGGCAAATGCAAACTAGAGGTCTTGGGCCACAGGGCATCGCGGACGCCAAGGCGGGCGTCGCCGCTCGATAGACGCGAGAAACAGATAACCCGACATTGATACGGTGGACGAACCCACATCCGATTCTGCCTGGCATGTTTTTGCGCCACAGAATGCAGATTTTACAATGCCTTCGTTTTCTTTGTATTACAAGATTTTTCATTTTGAACGTCCTGAATGAGAGCGCAATCCTTGAACGCGGTGGCAGCTGCCTGGCGGCTGGCGGGTGGTCCCGATGTCCCCGTAGCCCCGTGGCCTGGAGGCCCGCTGGCCTGGTGGCCCACCAGCGTGGCCTGCCTCGTAGCGGACTGCTGCATTATTCCCGGTGTGCCAACGTGGCCTACCTTGACGTAGGTCACCAAACTGCCCCCCGAGGGGTAATCCCCCACGCAACAGTCTTTATTGCAGGTGAAGGTTAAGCGACTCACTACGTAAGTCTGTGTACAATTGGATTTTGTCCGTCGGCGGCCTCGTCCGGCTGTGCAGCGTTCATCGCGGTGGTGGCACTGCAAAGCCAGCGGTAAGTTTGCTTGCCACAAATTTGGCAAGCCGTTTTGAATGCCAAAATTTGGCAAGCTTTGGTCGGAAATCTTCAAAAGCTTGCCTAACTTTGGAAAGCTGGGTGGTGTGTACAGGCCAAGCTTGCCAATTTTTGGCATTCAAAAACGGCTTGCCAAATCTGTGGCAAGCAAACTTACCACCGGCTTTGCAGTGGGCGCACGCCGCGCCGTCATCGCCAACCCCGCCGCGCCAGGCCGCCAGACCACCGCACTGCAAGCCGTGGGCGTGGAGTGGGACGCTGCCGCCATGCCATGCACTCGCCCTCTCGCCCTGGGCCGCCCTGGGTAGAGTCCTTAAGTGTCTAGCTGGGCCGCCCTGGCCGCGAGGCTCGCCGTGATGTCATCGTCGTGTTGGCCGGCTCGGCCACCGCGAGCGCGTCGAAGCCAGCGATGCCGTGACCGACGAGGCCCGCCAGCCGCTCAGTGTAGATGTGCCGGAGCGGCCCGGAGGCCCGGAGGCCTGGAGGCGGCAGGACGACTTTTGCTGGTGAAGAATCATTTCTTAGCTGTGTCTCTCGCGCTTTGTCACGAAAGGATAACGGTTAACATTTGACCACGTGTGGATCTCAATAACCTTCAATGTGTTTGTGTCTAAAATGTCGCACTCGGCGCGCAGACGACCGATACAAATCTGCAACGCTCTCTTCAGATTTTTTTTCGCCCTGTACTTGTGGGTCATGTACGTCGCGCGGCTGTTTGTAGAGTCCCATTTGGTATGCGCTGCCCTGGCGGGCCGGTGCTACTTGGCCGTACTTGGCGGACCTGCGAATGGTGACCAATGGTGACCAATGGTGACCAATGGTGACCAATGGTGACACAGCGACGGACGCGTGGGCCGCGTCGCTGTGTTGCCGAGGCGGCCCGAGTAGTGAGTGTCCTCTGATCCAACAGGGCAGCGACCTTTCAAGAAAAAAGGGGGAAAAGCACAACACTGCACTAGACAGGCTAGACGGCTTGACGTCCACTTGGAAAAAGAATACTTTGTTGCAGCAATGGTATTTAACCTGTGGAACCAAGTTGATCACAACAGTAAAGTACAGTTGCCGATGACTGTATTCGACTTCCTTCATGCAACTCGTTCATTCAGTGACCGGACGCAACGTGTATATATTATGCAAAATTTGTATTAGTAGTCACTAAAGTATAAAGTACAAAAACTCTTGTTTGAATAGCATTGGTAATATCACGAAGAATACTCGTATTGGTCTCGGTGCGCCTTTTGCAGTGTCACACCTTCTTCTCCTTGTGGCCGCTGATGAAGCCGCACATGATGCCCTCCAGGACGAAGCAGGACCCGCGCAGCCTGCGAAAAGCGTCAATCTTAAGCTGGTTGGCTACTTCGTCTCGAAACTAGTTTTTAGTGAGCGGTACTTCTAAGGTGGCGCTTGGACCATCTTTCAACCGCCTTCCACACGTACTTGGCCACCATCTCGTCGCCGTTCATGCCGTAGATCTTGGAGGAGCGGGCGAGGTAGGGCGAGTTGTGCTCGGGGCGCACGAGGCGGCGCACGGCGTGCACCAGGACGCAGTTGGGGGCGAGGCGCAGCGCCTGGATGGAGCAGCGGTCCGCGATGGCGAGCTGCTGCTGGTGCTGCGGCTCGGGCAGCCAGGTGTACAAGTAGGCCACGTTGAGCTGCACGAACGCGTTGCCGGGCCACAGGTCCAGCGCCCTCCTGGCAAAACAAGCACGTTTAGGGCTTTCTGCCGCTGGGGCTGCGTAGAGGACCGTGCACCGAACCGCACCTGAGCAGCACGCGCGCGGCGAGCACCTCCCCGCAGTAGACGTGGCGCGTGGCGGTGTAGACGGCGGAGTGCGGCGTCATGGCGTCGCCCTCCAGGGAGGCGGCGGCGTCGGGCCGCTTGCCCATCAGCAGCAGCCACTCGGCCTCGCCGGGCTGCAGCGAGGACGCCTTGCGCGCCGCGGACACCATCTTCTTGCCCATCTTCTCGCCCTGGACTACGGGGAAGGAAAGACACCATCTCGTCAGCAAACTCGCGCAGCGAAAATGGTTTTACCGATGTGAGACTCACTGCACAGGAAGTAGAGGCACGACGCCTGGAGGCCGTACAGGGCGGCGCGCTGCTCGGGCGCCAGCTTGCGCACGGGCGCGATGTCCTGCAGCTCGGCCTGCATGACGGCCAGCGGGGTGCTGACGTGCACGAGGTGGGCCCAGGCCGCGCCCAGCGCGTGCCTCGCCGCCTCCTCGCCGCGCCGCAGCAGGCCGGCCTCGCGCTCGCACCACGGCAGCGTGCCCAGCACCACGTCCACGTCCACGAGGTGCGCGCGCGACGTCCGGGAGTCGCCGCGCTGCAGCAGGGAAGACCAATCATTCAAATACCAATGCCGGCTGGATGCCACTGGGCCCGTGAGCTTACCTTGAAGAACAGCCAGCTGAGGTTGAGGTGCAGCACGACCTTGGTCCAGGGGCTGTCCGCCACGTGGAGGACGTCCAGGAGGCGCCGGATGTGGCTGTCCCAGCGACTCGAGTCGGCGCGCTGCCCCGGCAGCAGCCCCCACACGAAGGGCGACTCCAGCTCGCGGTACAGCTGCTCCAGGAAGGCCTTGTCACCGGCCGCCCTGGCCGTGGCCATGGCCGTGGCCGTGGAGGGCTCCTCCGTGCCGGCGGGGCCGGCGACGTCGGGCGCGGCCATGCTGCGAGGACGCCGCAGTCGGAGCGCTGCTGGCGCTGCTGCGGGGAGTAGCGACACACATAAGGACCCTCGCGGCGCGGGGTACCTCCGCCAGTCCGGCGAGACCACCGCCGCTGGGCGCGCTGCGCGCTGCGCCGACCGTCAGCTGTTCCTCCCGAGGCGCGGCGCGCGGCGGTGGCCTATTTCTAACCTCGACCTTCGCCTAGCCTCGCCGCGCTGGAGTCCAGGGACTCCGGGGCGCAACACACTTACAGTGCCGCGATGCAACTCATCTGGGCGTGAAGCAAACCCCGGGACTTCACGAGGGCCCGCGTGTTCTCACGTGTGCGTCCTCCAAGTCACCTACAGTGCAGGGCACTGGCACAAAGGAACCAACAGGACTTCCACCGACTTGCACCGAGTGCACTCAGTCGGGGCGCCGTGAGTCAACAGCGCGCGGATGCTGCGGGAGTTCCGAGAATGCGGTGACTCGGCCCACGCTGCAGGTGGAGTCCTTGACGGCCTCGGGTGACTTTCAGGTTCGCGAGCAGACGCCGTGGCTCGCCGGCGGTCGCGAGGCCACGCAAGGAGTGCGAAGGTGCACTGAGTTCCTTGCTTCGTTCGGCGGCGACAAAAAACTCACGTTAGTGAGACGAGGACTCTTCTGCTGGCGCCTGCGCTCATGGTCGGCCGTGCGGGCCGTGCGTCCATGGCACGGGGCAGGCCGAGGCGTACTGCGGCGTGCACGGCGTGCAGCACGGCGCTCGCGACGCCCCGCCCCGCCATGGCCCCGCCGTCCACCTCGCCGCGCACCGCGGCGCCGCGGCGCTCCAGCCGGCGTCGGTTCGCCCCCACTCCGCGCCGCGACGCCCGTCGTACATGAATGAAGTCACCTCGACCGGTTGGAACGGCAGCGGCAGGCTAGGCTGATTCGGAGCCCTGCTTTCGCCGCTGCCTCTCTCTCGCACTTGTACATCGCGCCCCATGGGTGCGAGAGAGACGGAGTTTTGGCCGCCTCCACCGGTCTTCTGGCCCACTGTGCATCGTCACTCGTCAACTCACTCCTCATGAAATGCCTGCGGAGCGCCTGTGAAGTGCCGGGTAGACCAGCCCGCAGAACGCGGGGCTGCTCCGGGTTGCCTGCCCTCGCTTGCCATTGCCATTAAAGGATAGACCACACATGATCGCACGCACGGAGGTCATTCGCTTTAAGCGTACAGGCTCTTTACCCTCGCCTTCGTCTTACCAGTGAAGTCCGTTACGTGGTGATCCGAATCAAACACGTGCCAATGGACCTCCCAACGGTCACTGAACCCATTGGTGCAACCATGTGTTCCATTTTCCGGCAGTATGATGCCGGCCGGCCCACTGTGCAGCGGCTTTTTGAGAGGCGGGCATCTGCTCGACATGAAGCACACACACACACACACACACGCGCGCGCGTCGCCCTGCCGCCCGAGGCGCAGCGGATGCTCCTCCCTCCGGAAGCGGTTCGACAGGAAACGGGTCGAATGGGTTGCCTATCTTCCGGCGCACTGGCTCGGAACAAGCGGCGACAGTGCCGCGACAAAAATTCCCACTTGGCACCAGCGCCGCAAGGGCTGCCGAGCTCAGCCGCGCTTCTAGGCAATATTTTGACTTCGATGTCGAGAAGTTGCCTCGGAGCCTGGCTGAGGTTGGCAACCCATCCAACACCGGCCGAACGTGTGGCAAGTCCGTTTTCGCGATTCGAGCCGTGTGGCGTGTGGCCAGCAAACAGTGTAGTGGCCGTAGAAGCCTCTTTCTAACGAGAGTCAATGAGTGCAGCGGGCTGGGGCCGACTGGGGCCGGGCGTTGGTGCCGTTGGCCGTTGTCCGACCTTTCGTCACCGAGCGCCGCTTGCGGTAGGCCAGTACCTAGCACTGTCAACCGTCGGGTTGACTCTTGGAGAGAACTAGGTTAGGTTAAGGTTAGGCGACTCCTGAAAAGAGTCCACTCTTCAGTTTGCAGAACGTCAATAACAAAAGTCCGTAAGCATTTTGCGTGTGGGCGCTTTGGCCCGCTTTGGACGCTCCGTCGCGTCCTGCGTCCTGCGGGTCAACGAGCGAGGGACGCCTCGATTCCATCAAAAAGGCAGAGAGGTCCGGCCGAGGCTCGTTAGCCAGTCCACTGAAAGGCCGAAACGAGGCGCGTGCCGCGGCGTGCCGCGGAGGCGACAACCTCTCTGGAACAAAAACACGCAAAAGCTTCACCACCCAACAAAACGGTGCCGTCGGTCACTTTGGGCTTATCGTCGCCGTGTCGGTCACCCCACCTGCAGCCTCGTTTCGAACAGCGCTTTCGTCGCCCTGTCTCTCTCGCGCCCGTGGGGCGTACCGCATGGGTGCGAGGAGGACAGAGGCGCCGGAGCACTGGTTCGGCTTCAACCCGCTGGATGCTGCGTATAAAGACAGCGCGTTGCCCCGGTGACAGTGCTGGCCGTGTTGGCCGCGCTGGCTGTGCTAGCGCCACCATTCCACTGTCGCGCGCTGTCCGACATGGGTCCTCCATGGCTGAGGGTCTTGGGGGTCATGGTCGCCGTCACGGCTGTGGCATGCCAGCAGTTCGGGAAAATCTATGTAAGTTGAGAGCAACTCAAAAAGTAGAAGGTGGTAATGGCTAGCCGTCCTGTTTGGCTTGAAGCATGTTGGTGTTGTCCCTGACAGGGCACCTTCCGAGTCATCCCCAAGCACCTGGAGGAGTGCCCACCGGAGATGCGGCCGGCCCGGAAGCTGTACACCGTCAACGTGTCCGCCATGAGGGACCGCTCCAAGGCCGACGTGTGGCTGTACTCCGCCAACGGCACGCTGCACGTCCCCGCAGACGACAACTACACCGTAAGCACCCTCAAAACCTCCGTCGATTCAAAGGCGGGGCGAGGAGTTTCAGAAGCAACTTGTTCCAGGTCTCGGGCAACGTGGCGTCGTGGAGCCAGATGGGCGGCTGGAAGGACAACGCCTACATGGTGGAAATCCCCAAGATGTGCTCGGCCATGAAGGCCCTCTTCCCGGACCTGTGGCGCAGGGTCGCGGCCGGGAGCTTGGAACCGGAGAGGATAGACTGCCCCCTCATGCCGGCAAGTACCACGTGGCCATACCATACTCTCCTCCTAGACATTATAGCTCACTCCGAGGCTCGTTTCCGAACAGGGCTTCTACTCCGTCTCCAACGTGGCGACGGACTTCAACATCGACTTCCCACCCACCTTCTTCTACGGCAAGTGGCGGGGCACGTTGACAGTCTCCAACACGGTCTCCAAGGAGAGGACTGCCTGCGTCCGCGCCTTCTTCGACACCGTCCCCAAGACGGGCAAGGGCAAGGACTCGCCCGGCAAGAAGCCCTCTGATTTCACCAAACTCGTCCTCGCCAAGCTCAACATGAGCAAGTTCAACTCCCAGGGGCAAATACAATAAGCAACTCTGAACAGCGGTTTGTTGCGTGCCTGAATTATTTCCCCTTATACTTTTTACATGCGTTCGGCGGCAATGCCTGCCCAGGCCGAGCGGAGAGGGGCAGTTTCCAGCGTCCCTTTCCTTTCCATTCCATTGTGGATCTTGACGTTGTATTCGCACGACCCGAACCAGGTGACATGACGAGTAACGACTTTGCACCAGGCAAGCCTCCTGAAAAGTGTAACCTGGAACTCGAACGCCGGTTCCCAGGCCGCCCATGTACGGTCTCGGCTCGGCTAGGGGCCGGGGTCGGCAGGTCGGCGGCTGGGTCGACTGGGTCGGCAGGTCGGAATCGCCACTTCCCCTTCTGGCACTCCGCAGACTCGTAATCTTTGCCAGTGGTGCCATGCAACGAGGAAGGACTGTGGAGTCACTAACCCGGCTCGGCGACGTATCGCCCCACGCACTCTCGACAAGAGCAAGAGCGCGGTGCGCTGCTGGGTGCTGCTGGGCTGCATGGTGTGGCACTCGGTGGCGCGGATAAGCGAGCCCAGTCGGCCGTCGCCTGTGCGTGGTCGCCGTTTCGCCGCTTCGCCGCCTTACCGCGCAACGAGACCACCCAGCCCAGCCCAGCAGCAGCATGTGGGTCTTGGTGGCCTTGCTGCCGCTCGTGGCCGCGCGCTCGGCGCACCCGCACCGCCCCCAGAGGGCCTTTGAGGACAACAGCTACCCCTACCAGCCCGTCGTGCCCTACTACGAGGCCCCGGTGCAGGAGTGCCCTCAGATGGCGCCCACAGAGATCGACCTGGACGAGGTATACTTGGACAGAGTTGCTCGCCTGCTGCCATGCTTAGGAATGGCAGGTGCTTGTACGGTCACCAACACAAGGACCCTCTTTCTCGGCGCTAGCTGCTAGGGAGCTGGCACCTGTCCCTGCTGCTGCTGGCGGACCGCGTGACGACGGCCGACGGCCTCCTGGACGAGTCCATGTGCGCCGAGGTGGACCTGGTGCGCACCAACGGGTCCATGCTGCGTCTGGACTGGCAGCTGCGCCAGCTCAACCTGCCGGCCGGACTGGCGGACCTGCGCTTGCAGGTGGCCGCGGCCATCCTGGGGCAGCCCGGCCTCTGGGCGCTCGCCACGCCGCTAGGAGGTGAGCACTAATCAGCTTCAGTTCGAATCAAAGATCTCATCCGGCGTTGCCACGTAAGGAGGCAGACTAACGTTCGGACACGCCTTCCTCCCTTGTTGACTTGTTGTTGCCGCAGGCGAGATGGTGGGCACGGTGAGCCACGCCGTGCCCGACTCGCACATGGTGCTGACGGTGTGCGGGGAGGGCGCGGCAGTGCGGGGCGCAGCGCGGGCCGCGGGGCGTGGCGGCGCGGTGCACGCCCTCACAGCCCTCCTCACGCGCCGACCACCCTCCGCCGTCGGGTCGCTGGAGCTGCTGCGCTTGTCCGCCCACATGGTGCCCTCCACTGGCAACGGCGGCGGCTTCCGGCACGCGGACGAGCGGCTGCTCAGCTGGGGCCAGTGCTGACTCCAAATAAATGATCCAATAAACATCCGCCCGGTTTCTCTCTCTCTCTGATTTACTCCTCTTCATCGGGCCAGTGCCCAGTGCTGTGATTTCGACACCTCCGCGGAACACTCAAGATGATCTCAGAATGTCAGGCCAGGCACAGAATTAGTTTGAAAAAAAGGCGGTGATCCACGAGCACGAGCACACTAACAGGTGCGCCAACCTCTAAAACACAGCAAATTTGAAACATAGTTCTAATTCGTCCAAGCTAGGCGCTTCCAAGAATATTTGATATTTCGAGAGCAATGAAACTTTACTCACACAAATGATACTTCAGCAGTCAGCTGTCTGAAAATACAAGAGAAAACTTAATTTATTTTCCGCCTTTGCTAACCTGGCAGAGATCTAAGATGGCGGAACCAATAAGAAACGGCGGCCGGTGATGTTTTCAAAACTTTGTCTGTCGGTTGCGGTGCGGTGTGTCCTGTGCGGTAGTACGCATTTTTGTTACTTAATATTTAATTTTGTTCGGCCACGCCGCAGTTGCTTGTCACAGCAATGAGTACCTCTGATCAGCGCCCTCCTTTTACATTTTGTGAAGTATGCAAAATAGATATGCTTCCCGAAAATTATGGTGCTCATGTTAATGGAAAGAAGCATAAACTTCAGGAGGAAAGATTAGGTACTAAGAAACATATCGAGGAGACAGGATTGTATATTAGAGGTAACTCAAAAACCTATAAGACCTTAATTTTAGTGATCACAAATATTTGCACGTAAGTTTACTGATCATTATTTTATTAGGTGTACCACCGAATGTGGATGCTGCAGAAATGTCTAAGGCTTTCGGAAAGTATGGATATATTGCCAAAATTGAAATTTATGGAAGAACTGCCTTTGTTCACTATGTTGATAAGTATGATGAACATAAAAACCGCATGCTTTTTTTTCTAAATGAGTTTGTGTCATTTATCTATTCAATTTGTTCTTTGATTAAAGGAGCTCTTGTGACGAGGCCTTAAAGCATCAACACGTTGTTTGCAATACTACTTTGTACGTAGATAGGCGGAAACTAATTGATCGTCCCAATCGTAAGTATTTTCATTGACAGCATTGCATTGTTTCAAACAAATTTCAAACTGCACATATGCTGCTATTCAAATTCATCATTATGTATCTTTGAACCATTAGCTGTCCGTGTCCAGAATAAAAGAGGTTTCGACAACACTCCAAAGACCTCAAAGACACCAATTAATGATAAGAGCAAAGGGCAGAAGAAACCAGCGCTTATAACAAAAGAGATATTGGACAAATTAGCTCGGCCAGCACCAATTTCAGAGCAAATGACAAAACTTAAAGAGCTCATTCTGGCAGGACCTGAACTTTGCAATGACATATGCAACAAAATTTGTTCAGATGTGATGCTTATAATGAACACGGCCACCTTTAGTACTTGTGAGCTACTTGCATTTGGATCCATGACAACAGGGTTGGCATTCAAAGATAGTGATCTAGATGTGTATGCTCATCTTGGTAAGTGTTCTTGAGGATATTTTTCTCATCAAAGAACATTCTTTACACGTTTTTTTTAAATTGCTGCAGATATCCACCTTGACCTATTAAGAAATAACATAAAAAAATTATTTCAGAGTTAAATCCTCAAACTCATCTTTTAAAAGGGCCAGGTGGCAAGCAAGACCAGAAGAAAATTTTTAACATTGCCAAAGGTAGTTTTTACAGGAGGCCTCAGGTATTCAAAGACATAGTTCCTATTCAAGGTGCAAAGATACCATTAATCAAGTTTGTGCATATAAATACAAATGTTGCATGTGATGTCAATTTCCGAGATGCAATTGGATATTACAATAGCAATCTTTTACGTCATTACCTTGACATGAACGAGAGGTGAGTTACGTAAAATACATCTAAGGTACACCCCGTGTCATGTCCCATTTTCTTAAACTAATCAAATGTCTCTCTTTTGCCCAGGTTTTTTAACTTGATGGTGTTTTTAAAATTTTGGGCACGAGTGCATGACTTTATTTCCTCATCCAAGTTATCAAGCTTTGCTTTGTGTATGTTAGGTCTGAATTTCATACTTTCTTTAAAGAATGAAGTTGGGGACAGAATAATTCCCACTGTTGATGACCTTTTGAATCAGTCTCAATCCTCTGATAGTGATATTTATGTTAATGAATGGAAATGTAGTTTTGATAATACTCCAATCAAAGTTACGCTTCCAGACTCACCTAACTATTCCCTAGTAGGATTACTAAAGGGATTCTTTGAGCACATAGCTACACTACCTTTCCAAACAGATGTGTTAAGTGTCTCAACGGGAGGATTAATTCCTAGAGAATTATTTAATAGCCCTGATGAACTCCCTAATGCGTACATATGCTATAAAAATTTTATTCTGAAGCATCCAGGAGAAGTTCTAGTAAAGGTATGGAGCAAAGAGATTTTTTCTGTATTTGGGAAACTTGCTTGTTTGTTTCCCTACTCATTTTTCTCTAAGTAACTATGAAATGCTTTTATTTTTTTCAGCCTGAACACTATGCTGTGATCCATGACCCATTCAGACTAAATCACAACTTGTTAGGTAGAGTTAACTTGCAGACAATGCAAAGTTTTGTAAATGCATGTAAAAAAGCGGCAGAAGACTGTGCTGTCGCTATGAACAACAAAGAGATGGAGTCCACACTCTTGCATCATCTGCTAGATGCTCGCAAGCGTCCGCCTCAAGTGGAGGTTCAAGGCACCTCACAAATCAAGGATCACAATATTGGTCCCACATCACTTATTCTTGATAATCCCTTCATTGGCAATGAAAATCCACTTTTAGATTTGGCTGACATCATTTGCATGATTTTTGAAAAGATTCTTCTTCTTAATGTGACCAAATTAGAAGAAGACAAGACTGAAACCAGTTGCAAAGTCAGTAGAGCAGATGATATGAAAGATGTGCATGAGAACAGCCAACCACGTATTCTGGTTACTTGTGAAGGGAAAATAGATGTTTGGAATGGAAGGAAGAAGGCAAAAAACCTACTTAAACTCATCAATCCATTGACTTTTGAAGATGAAGTTAAGGTTTCTGAATACCTGAAGCAACATGCTGGGAAAGATACCAATGTACCTCTTTCCTTTCAATGTGAACTCCTATGTAAGGTTAAACAATATAATTTGCTCTTTGACAATTTTCCATCTAAAAGAAACTTCAAAGTCTTTTGGATGATAATTCAACAACAGCTCCCTAAATGGGTAACTGGTTTAAAAGATGCTCTTAAGAAATCTTCTGAAATATGAGATTCACAGCAGCAGCAAGGTAAGTTACTGAAGGGTCAGTGACTTAGCTTGCTGCAAGTCCATCTATTGTTGTCATGATTTAGGAATATGATAACCTGTAGGAAATCAGAATGCAGGTCTTCAAGACTGCCACTGGAAATCCGGGACTCCTATGTGTTCTGTCCCTCCCCCAAATGAAGAATTGACCTTTTGTTTTTGTATTATATGCACATACAGATGTACATAATTTTATTTCTGATAGTCTGATTTGTCTTCAATTAAATTTGAAGGGAGTATATTATTACTTTCTTTATTTCAAGAATAAATATGTCCTCTTCCATACTTAAACAAATTCGTTAGTGAGGGTGATTGTTTTGTGAATGGTCAGTAATGAAAGAATTCAGTTACGTTCACACAAGTAATTTATTTCATACAAAGCACTTTAATCAAATTTTAAAATTAATCAAAACCAAAACACTCAGTAGTTCTAATCAAACTAAAAGCAATGAAGAAAAAAATATCTAACGCACTAGATAATGAACGATTCCTATTTACATGCCTTAAACAGTAACATTTCCAAGCTCAAGAAAATATAAATGGAAGTGTTTCAACACTCACTTCAATCTGACTAATATTAAACATGGTTTGCATTTAATTTGCAAGGAAAACCATTGAACTTGATTAAGTGGAAATATTTCTACAAGTAAATCCCAGAAACTACAACCTCCTTACCCTCAAACATTTATGTAAAGGAATTCTAGGAATGTAGTAGTGTCTACAAGACCCCAGTGCTCTAACAACATTCATCTTACTAATCAGCTATCTCTTGCTTAATAATTCTAATAACTGACTTCTTCCGTTTACTATCTCTATCCATCGGAACATCACACTCTATGCTTCTCTTGTTAGACTCTATTTGTTTGTTCTGTTCATTACATGAGACCTCCATGACATCGGCCACTTCAGGGGTTAATCCTTCATTCAGCTCAGAATCAATAATTACAACAACTGTAGAGCTGTCCTCAGTCACCATGGCACCTTCATCAAGACGAACAAATTCACCATTCTCATTCATGTACCCTTGAATTGTTTGAATTTCTTCACCAGCCATAGTCTCAGTTTCATCATCATCACCTTCTTTGGGTTGTAAAATTGAAAGCTCTCTGTAAGGATACAACAAACAAATGATTACCAAGTTTGGTCTACATGTAAGTAAAAAAAAACCTGAAAGTCACACAGGGTTAATTAAACCAATTATGTTACCTAGTTGCATCTCCTGTGTACACCTGTACTTCGTCCGTTTCCAAACAAAGTTGAATATTACCAGCCTGGGATACCAGTTGATAAAATGGAAATTCTGTCCTTGTTCCCTCTCCATCAGCATCAATGTCCGAAATCAAAATAGTTGAAGGGTCATCTGCATCCTCCTGTGATCCATCTTGACTTCCATGTTTACCCTAGCGTAAGGGGGTTAAAAAAAGGAAGTTTAAGATAAGAAATTGAAAGTTAAATAGAACTAAGACGTCAGAGCATTAACAAGTTATTACCCTTCGACTGGCATCCCCCCTCCTCTTTTTAGCTTTGGACAGAAACGCAGCTCCAGCTGCTTCCGATTTAGCTGCCCTTTGTTCCTTCAAAGCTAATCGTGCTTTCTGCAAGCAAACAGGGAATTGTTACTATGAAAAACAGGAGATGGATCACAAGTTAAATAAGAATGTGCTAATAACCTCTTGATCTTCCTTTTTCTTCTGAAGTTCCTTTTCTTTATCCCATAACTCATCCAAAGTGATAGGACGGCCCATTTTTTCTGAAAGGTTGTTGAGGTATTCTTTGGTAACTTCCTCACCCTTCCGCACCCATTCTGGATCTACCTGAGACGGCTGTCCTCCATTTTCTTGCATTAATTTATACCTGCAAGTTGTGAGCACGCATGATGTCTTATTTGTGGTCAACAATGAAATATGAACTTTGCATCTAAAAATATTTGCTTACTTGCGGTATGAGAAGTCAGGACAGTTGTGGATCGATCGTACGTGCTTAGCAATATTGCCTTGAGTATTGCATGCATAAGAACAAAATGGACAAGCATAAGGGCGCTCTTTTGTGTGGATTGCATGATGACGCAAAAGGTGATGCTTAGTTTGAAAACTTTTGTCACAGTCACCACACTTAAAAAGGCGTTCACCATGGACTGCGTTTCGATGGACATTCAAACGAGCCAGGCAAGCAAATGATGCTGAGCATTCGTCACATCTGTATAAGATAATGCATACAGGTTATACATATAAGAACGGAAATAACTTTGCAAATATCTGCATTAGTACACTGACTTGTAAGGCCTTTCCCCAGTGTGGGATCGCATATGCTCCAAAAATGCGTTTTTCTGCTTCACACTTGCTCCACAGACAGGGCACACATGATTATTATATTCACCATGATGGCGCATTCTAATGTGAACTCGAAGATTGTTTGCACGGTGAGTGACAAAGCCACACTGAAATATTAACAGCAAAACATTTACTGTACTGTTTTTGCAGTAGTAAATGCAGTAGTAAACTGAACTCCTATTTGTTGTTCTCAACAATAACTTACCACTTCGCACTCATGTTTTGTTTTCCTCTCATGAATGGCCTTAACATGGTCTCTTAGTGTTGAGTCCTTAGCAAAGGCCTTACCACAAAATTCACAAATTTTGTTTCTTTCTCCTGTGTGAATAGTCTGGTGTCGAGAAAGGTCGACTTTTGTGTATGCTTTATATTCACAGTGGGGGCATGCAAAATCTCTTTCATTCCGATGCCTCTTCATATGGAGCTCTGGAGGAAAAGTATCTCTTTTTTAAAAGAAACATTGCAAGAAAGAATACAGATAAGGCAAAAATTAATGGGAATTTTTATCTTACGTAATCCACAAGATTGACTAAATGTCTTGTTGCACTCTGAGCATGCATACACAGTTTTAGAAGAATTTTTGGGAATATTTTCTTTGTGCTTCTTTACATGAACAGACAATGCATACTTGGTTTTACTCTTAAAATCGCAGAAATGACAACCATATTCTGAAAAAAAGGAAGGCAATCACATACATTAACAAGGTGAATTTAATGTGATTCAATTTGTTGAGAAAATGTGCTTTTTCTTCTCCCAGATTAATTTACCATTTTCCTCCTCAACAGGATCATCTTCATCTTCTTCATTTTCATCGTCATCCTCAGCAGGAATATATGGATCACCAACAATGACAGTACCCTCTTCATCACCAGCTTCTGCAGTTTGATCCTCCACAATGGTTTCTGATGATTCAATCTTAACAGTTATCATAGAAGATTCATCTTCTGCTACAGCTATCTCAACACCTTCACTCTCTTGATTGTTAGTCTTATCTTTGAGGCAGTCTGACTGATCAAGATTTACATTCAAAGTGATTCCTTGGTTCAAATCTTTTTGAGAAACTTTTGACAAACTAGCAAGAATTTCTGCAGATTCCACATCAGCTATGTCAGACGACACAGCAGCACTTTGTCTTAAAACCCGAGGAGTCACCCTTTCAATAACAATGTCCTTAGCCTTGGTACTTGGCTTAGTGGGTGAAGCTGGCTGTGCTCTTGGCTTCCTAACTCCTCTTATCAGGTTTGCCACATTAATGCGCTTAGTTTTGCGCCCATGCAAAGTTCTTATATCCTCCATCAGGACAACTGGAAAATAGAATTGTTTATGAATTATTAAATGGAGTTCCATAAAAATTAAAAGGCAGCAGGACATGTATCATAAGAAAAGTCATACCAGGAGTTCCTTCATCAATGGCAGGCACCTTCATGTCATCATGAGACGAACTTTGAATTTCTTTTTCTTTTTTTACTCGCAGTCGAAATGGTAATTTTCCTTTAACACCGCTTTGTCCTGGAGTGATTTCAATTTGTTCTTCACCTTTAGAAGGACTTTCAAATGTTGATTCTTGTTCTGAAGGTGAGGCTTCCACTTCATCTGCATCATTAATCTGGTCATCAGCCTCAGACTGATTATTGAGAGGATCATCTTCGGTTGTATTGATCTTTCGGGGTGATCCCTTAGCTAAACCAACAGATTCAAGAGATACTGATATTTTACGAGGACTTCCTCCTCTCCTTAATCCAGGCCGCTTTTGACTTAAACCAGCTAAGAATTCGGAATATGCAAAGAAAAGGAAAGATTAATAGTGACCACAAAAAAGATATCTATTAACAATAAATGATAAATAAAAAGAGAGACAAACCTGGTTCATCATTTGATGCCGCAGTATCCGGCAGCTTTTGCTGAATACAACTTAAAGCTTTCTTACGGATACTTTCAGGCAAATGCTGCAGCTTCTTGAATAGAGCTTCGACCTGTCGCAAAACAAATGGAGCAAATGACTGAACTTGTTTCAAAGAGAGGCGGTTGGTGGTTGTAAAGGGTACACAAACAAAATACATAGACAAACTTTTCAATTTTAGAAACCTGACTGGCAATTTCAACAAGGTTAGAGGGCAGACAACATTAATCGTAGTTGATGCGAAACCCTTCACGATACAAACATCACATGCCAGAGGTTCAAACTAGTAATCATAACAAACCACAGAAGTTTTTAAAGTGATCTAGCGGGGGAAAATTTGGTGCAAGTATGTCGCTGATGCAAGATAGAGAACGAGCGAACGCACGCCATCATAGCGCTACAAGGAAAGGTCCGAAATACTGCCAAAACCATATCCTATCATTTCTTTACCTCTTCCAACACATCGGGACTTTCAGCGGCTTCCATTTCTCACGCGATAGAAATCATAAACAATACTAAATGAATTCATGCACTACAAATTCGCCATACTCTGCTGGTAACCTTGCCACAAGTTTTTCCTCAACGGACTCTAGACGGAAATGGCGGCAAGTCGACGCGTTACGTCCCCCCCCTTTCCCCTCCCCGCTCCGCTCCCGGTTCCGCCTCTGCGTTCTGCCAATACACCTGGAGCGAGTTACGCGCAGAAAGGTTGCGTCTGCGTGTTTGCATGTAGTCTGCTAGGCGTCACATAAACATTGTTATTAGTCTAGGAATTGCATATTTGCTAACTATCATGAAAGGAGATGCGCCCAAGTTGAGGTTTGTGTTCTCATGCTTTGTGGTCAATCCAGCCGCCGTTCCACTGAGCAGCTGGGAAGGCGCTTCGAGGTGGGCGAGGCTGGCGAGGCGGGTGTGCAGACGACTTTAGGGCTACCGGTTCATGCGAAAAGGTTTTTGCTCGTCAGGATTTTACTCCAACAATGACTGTTGCATCAGAGTTATTGGCGGAGTAATGGAGCCGACACCCTAGTTTGGGTGGTTTTTGTTTGGTGTCGGGTATGTGGGTTCGGAGTTAAATAATTCTTGTTTATCCCTCTTAGAAACCCCTCTATTTTTATCTTTCACTACTTTAGTGTTCTGCTCCTACCCTTTAAATTCATTTCATTAAATTTGAGGACTTTTCATGCGTCATTGTCTTTTTAAATTTGGGATCAGAAATGAATGAAGTTTTGTGAAAGAAGAAGCCTTTCACATGGAGGAGGGCAATATGATTTCATGAGGACCATATTCTCCCAGTAGCGTTTTCTGGAGTCCTACGTTTTCTTGCCTCCTAAATCATCTCAACTTAGGCAAATTTTTTCTTAAGTATGTTTATGCAATATGTTCTGAATTTATGTATTTCTATTTTCAGACGATGATTGTTCCAAACATCTCACTGTAGTATGTGATTCTTCAATCAATGTATAGCGTATACCATGTCCTCAACCATCATGGAAGACACCTTATACCTCTTAAATTCAATTCTGTTAGGTGAAGATCCTGTGAGTAAAATGAATTTATCAAAGAAATGATTTTTAAATGCCTTGTGAAGTACTTTAATTTAACCCTTTCTTTTATCTCATTATCACAGACAGTGGAAGACTTCATACTTCTTGTGGGAACTTGTGTGGCATTTGTTGCCTTTGTTTTGTGGTGCTGTTTTCCAGTGGCACCCAAGGACCCTCCTCCGGGTTATAGAAGACCTGAACCCGCCTATTTTTAAGTGGGCGTTTAATCGTTAGAAGTTACTGTTTGGGAAAGACGGAATAACAATTTACAAGAACCTTCACCCTTTCTGTAAACATTTATTCCATTGGAAAAATATTTTGCTTTAGGAACTATGCTGTTATTTTTGCTGGAGGTAAACTGTCCGATTCATGGAAAAGCTGTGAGATGAATTACTTTGAAATTCCTCTCTCAATACCTTGGTTGGTGGTAATGTTTTTTTCTTTGAGTATCACCTTTGACGATTTGCAACCTCCATAACATATGTTGTCTTTCTGGTATTTTACAGGTTTTTTGTTTTAGATCTTAGAAAAATACTTTTGATGTACAGTCTAATTTTGTATGCAATTAATCCTGTTTTGATTGCCCTCTGACATATTTTCCTGTACACTTAACTTGACTTAAAATATCTTTCATATCATTCAAGCTACATGAATGTTGAATGACCTTACTTCTCATGCCTTTATTGTGCATCCTCTTTTTAACTTGTATTGCTGTAACTGATTCCACTTTGGAGGTTGTGAAATACTTGCATAATCAACAATAATGTCAATATATATTTTTATTTTTTTTTGCCAGAAAAATGTTGCACTGGCAAACAATAATTTTTGGTGTGCCAATTTAGCAATTGTCTTGTCAGTTTGCTTGACGAAACAGAAATGTGAAACCTGGATGAAACGGCTGCAACAAGCCTTGTGATGAGGCAAGGCAAGAGAAGCCATTAGGTTTAGATTTTCTCGTTTAAGGTGAGAATAATTTCTGTATTATAGTAGAACGATTGATTGTTTTGTCTTCATTGTCAGCTGTGATTTTACCGTAAAATTTTATCAACTACTGGAAGGTTTGCCTAACAATTTATCTAGTCAAAGCGACTGAATATTTTCCATTAAGCTACAAGTTCTTTATGTTATCTCATTTCATACATAAGAAAAGAATTAGCAACTATTTATAAATGATTGATTACTTAATTTTAGTTATCATATTTCTGTTATGATGTTATGTGTTACAAAACTTACCTATAAGATTTTTTTTAATGATCACATGATTTAACTGCATCTATTGTGGTGAAGAAATATACACTGCTTTCTCATTTAACAAGCAATGCAAAGCTTTGATTTGAAAGAGAGAATGTGACTGAGGAACTATCAACACCCAAGTCCTATGTGGCCCATACTCGTGCACAAGACTAGAAATGAGTTAGGTTGTATAAGGCGTTTTTAAGGGTAAAAAAAGGGGTCTACATCTTATCACATAATTTAATTATAACTTACAAAATGAAAAAAAAATCATAGTCTAAACATATTTTTCAAAACATAAAAACCTATGGTACAAAATAACTATTACAAGATCATGTCCAATGATGATGCAAAAGAAACATTGACATGGCAGAGCCTCTCTAGCAAGTGCCAACAAGTTAGTACAAAATTTAAGGAAAAATACAACAAACAAATGATTGAAGTAGAGAAGCAACAGCCATGAAAAAGGCGTAGAAAGGTAAGCAAGGAAATGGAATCTGGAAATTTTAATAGCCCTGACAGCTAAAACCCAAAACTTAAAATTCAAAAACTTGGTGAAAATTTTTTTAATTTTTTTTTAAGGGGTGGGGGCAGATCTAAGCACTTACTGCAAAATCATTCCCAAATCAAGACCACCTGCAAACACATTCATTGGGGAATAAATTAATTGACAACTAATACAAAAATGACTAGACTCCTTGTAATAACTGCAATTAAAAATAAAACTTATCTTGCAGTGTTTCTCATGTTACAATGTTAGCACAGTGCAATACATTTTAATGCTACATCCAACTAGTATTGTGCTCTGTTCGTACTTAGATCCACTAGTGGAACATTACGCCAATATACCTCCTTCCTAGCCCAAACTAGATATCCATCAACAACCAATCCAAAAGCACAGCCAATAGCCCTTCACTTCCTCAATCTGCCCGCCTTGAAACAGTCCAAAATTAGTCTTCAAACATTACATTTGACTCCTGTTAACATACAAAGGGAATAGAGAGAGCAATAGAGTTCAAAATCATTAAGAAATAACAAGATTTAAATATTGATTCACAGTTTGATTTGAGGAAAAGAAAGAAAATAATAACCACTGGCAAATTGATTTTTGATATTAAAGAAACAGTTTCCTGATCTTGGATTGAGCAAGCAGTGGGAAGTCAATAATTTAAGGATGCGCCAAAAATGTTGACATGAAAACACAGAGGTTTCCATCAATCTGTCACACTATCATTCACTCATTACACTTCTACATGGAACAAAACGCTCAAACATTTCTCACAACAAGTCTCCAAAAAAAAAAAAAGCCACAGCTGCTGATAGAGGTTTAGGCAGAAAGGGAAACCACAAAAATGCACTTTGAATGTAACTGTCTCCACTCTCATAGGGGAAATACAATTTGACTTTTACTGTATTGTCTTACTAAATGAGCAAAATGCCCCATAAAGTTACAGAGGGCCGTTACCCTCAATCTACATTATTGCCCTAATTCAGTTGAATATCTACCTCTAAGGCTTTCTTTTCACATCAACAATGCCAAAATATTTAGCAAACTTACACTCTATAACCAAATAACAATGTTCAGTGAGTTTCAATGTAACTGTGCACCAGCTACTTTCTCATATTCAATGTGGAGTCTTAATAGAACCCTGCCGAGAAGACGCTAACAGCCTATAAAATACACCTCTAACTACAAAAATCAAGGCACAAATGCCACTTTTGAAATCAGATAAACAGGATGGTCAGTCCATAAGGATTCAAATTCACTCAAGAACCCACAGCAATGCAATGCATTTCTAAATTAAAACAAGGATGTTCGTTTGTTTTTCGTTTTAAGAAGAAGGCAAAAGAACAAGAACTGCTTACTTTTATTTTAAATTTTTTTTAAAAAAAAGGCCAAGAAATAATTTTTTGAGACAAGATTTGTATGCACACTGTTCCACTTATTTTCCAAGCTATGAAATTTTAGAGCTGAGGAAATAACAAAAATGAAAAAGAAAAAAAAAAGCCCAGCAATGAGGCTCAGATGTCAGTTCATCAATACCCCATCCATCAATTGTTGTGAAACAACGTAGAAGAAACTATTAGGACTAAAATAAAACTAATACAAACATGAAAAATTTCGTAGCAAATGCATCACTATATTTCTTGGAACATTAGTCACTGTCGTACATTCCTATGTAAAGTATACAGTGAACAGTCATTTTTAAGTCCGCACATTGCTTGCTTATGGATTTTACCACAAATAATCACACCACCCTTGTAAAGTGCCTCATCGGATTACAAATGGAGGATGCGACCATGTGTAGCACTCCAGTGCAGGGGCACTCATGTAACAAAATAATTATACAAAGCTCTGAAAATAGGATAAAATTCAACCTTCTAAAGTGATTTTATAAATGATTTCCTTGTTGGAGCTGCTAATCAATTGAGTAATGAATGTGTCTTCAAGTACTAGTTTTAGAGCATACTGACTGACTGTGGTACATGCAGTAGTGTGCTATATCATTTTTGTTAAGGTAACAATAAAATAACAAACTTCAAGTCAATTTTGTTGTACTGCCCACAGATCCAAATCGATAGAAGATACTATTTTTAAAAACACAATTTACATGAAAATATAACACCCATCACCTACATTTCTATATTCTTAGTCAGCTTACTTTTGTAGTGATTCATAAATAATCACAGGTTGTTAGGAAGTGATCTCTTCTCAATTTCGCCGCTCATATCCACTCATTCCACTCTCCTTGGAAACCACCCCACAATCTCACAAGAGACATGACGAGGCCCTGCTGCCATATTTGGCAATGAAGAGTACATCTCAAGAAACTTAACACTTCTAGGTCTTAGTAAACGTCTTTTATGTACAACAAAAATACATAACAGGATATCCAAAGTAGATTCTACTATCTGATTTCTACAACCCTATTGAAAAATTTAAAAAACATAAAAAAATTAAAAAAAACCATCACAATCACATTAAAAGAGCAAGAAATAAACAGCAATGTTTAGAAAACATGAGCACATTCCTAGCTATGTGCGTGATGCTTAATACAAAATGGTTATGTGTGAATCACAAATGCCCAGAATACACTCCTTGCAAAAAAAAACAGATTATAAATAATTGCAGGAACCAGTGAAACAGTTACATACGTCTCAATGTATGAGCTGAGAGTAGCACTACCTACCATTTACTTGTAGAAAACTAACATTATTTGGTGCTTTTGCTGATTACTCTACTCTAGTCATTGTTCAGCAGTATAAGTCATGCAGTCCTTCAAATCTTTTGTTCATATTAGGCTTAGAATAGTAATAACATTTTTTACATCTAATAGTTAAAATAATATTTATGGTATATCATAACACTATAATTAATAACGTAAAACAAAGAAACAAGAATAACTAAGCTGCCAATAAATATTTGGATGCCACTGATCTTTGGACTTAAATGGAACTCCTTAGGTCACATTTGTTCAGTAAGCGTCAACTGTTGCAAGAGAGTAATAGTGCAAGAGCAACAACTTGGTTAAAATTCTAGCTACAACATAATTAGACAGTGTCATACTTGAGTTCCTATTTACTTGCCTCTGAAACTAAAAAGAGAGCATTACAATCTGTGACCCTATTGTACTAAACAACAAACAGGAATAATAATAAGAAGAAAAAAAAAAGAGGGCCCAAGAAATTTCTACAAAGAACAGTATGGTAGGCAACAAATACTATTATTACACTATACATTACAAAAGTCAATACTTCTTAATTGGTGAATATCCACTTACAATGGAACTGGTTTCAGCAAAAAGTCTTACAGTAGTTTTACCCTTTTCAGCACATTATGATGCCAAGAGAAAGTAGATCAACAATTCATATAAATTGTTACGAATAGCCACTCAAATTCCAATTTTTGCAAGATCTGCACTTGAGCGGTGAACACGCATGTGATTGACCAAATTATTTTTATGAGCAAAGCTCCTTTCACAGTGGGGGCATTTTAGGGGTTTGTTAACAGCATGTGTTCGCTCATGCTGTATCAACTGCAGTTGTCGCTCAAACCTCTCCCCACAGTGGCGACATGTGAACGGTTTTTCCCCAGGGGTATGGGTGAACATATGATTTTCCAAACTGACCCTGTCATTGAAAGTTGCATCACAATGAGTGCATGCAAACGGGTGGTCTACTTCATGCGTGCGCATGTGCGCTTGTAAGTGACCTTTTTGAGTGAACTTTTGGTTACAGACTTTGCAAAGGTACTGTTTGTTACCTGAATGAGTTTTGCGATGATACCATAAGCCAGCTCGTGAAGAATATGTATTTGAGCATAGCTCACATTTATAACATTTGTCAAGTTTAGGGCTTTTAGCCAAAAGAGCTTGGATTTGTGCAGACTGAAGCGTGCGCGGCTCAGGTGGTGGTACTGATGGTGGGATGGCTGATATTATCAGGTCATTGAAACGGGCTGAACCATGGCGAATAGCTTGTTGGGCAGCACCCCCGGCAACATCATCAGCTTTGCTGAACATTGATTCAACAAACATTTGGGCAAAATTCGGCTCTGAGGATTGATTTGACCTGCCAACCGGACTATTCCTAGGACTGTCTCTACGCCCATTATCAGTTGCAGATCGTTTCATTGGGCTTTGCGAGCGACGAGTAACTTCCATTTCAACCTCTGCACCAACAGCTGCAGAGTCACCCACTTCTTCTTCATCTGACTGACGTACTGAGTTTAGTACATCATTGTCTGGATCCCAAGGGGGAGCCTGACCCCTACTACGATGGTACTTTATGTGAACTTCAAGGTGGCTTTTTTGAGAAAACCGTTTAAAGCAGACATAACAAGAATATTGTTTGTCACCTGAGTGTGCTTTCTTGTGATACCACAGTCCAGCACGAGATGAATAGGATCGAGGACACAAATCACAACGATAGCATTTGTCAAGGCGCGATGAAGATCCAATAACTACGCGAGGAGTGATACTTAGCTCAGAATCAGGCTGAGAGCTCTGCGCATCTGACTGGCCTACTATCACTTCACAAAACATTGGAGCAAAGTCCATATCTGGATCAGGGTCTGGGTCAGGCTCAGCATCTTCATATTCTGGAGGAGTTGTTGCGGGAGCTGGGCCAGCACTAGTGGCAGCAAGTGGGGGAGAGCCCTCTCGACTAGCAGGGGAAGGATTCATAACAGGAACCACACTGATGTTTCTTGCAGCTAAAATGTCCATGGCTCCTTGGATTTGGCTTCTCTCTTCTCTGCTAGGACTGAAACAAAAACAGTCACATTCACAATGAGAAAGATTTTTTTTAGGAGGATGCAGCAAAAATGGCTTGATAACATTCCAAGAATATTACCTCCAAGAATCATACAGTTCTTCAGCTGGTCTTGGTCGAATAGCTCGAGGTTTTAGGCCATTACTATCCTGTTGATAGGAGCTTTTAGGTGGTCGCCCTCTTGGTCTTTTCATGGCTGCCAAAGCAGACTCCAAGTCCATGTTTAACGTCTGCAACACACAAGATCAAGATCTTATTGATAGATACTTTAAAATGTGATGCACAGAGACATAACAGACATATTCATTTCTTGATATGTTGAAAAGTAATGTACATGCAAAATGAGAATCACTCACACACAACAAAAAGAGATCATTCAGCATTCATCTCATAAACAATATAAAACATCTACTGTCAGCGCAAGTTTAACAATTCATTTAAGCTTTGAGTTTATTTACTATTAATGTAAAACCATATTTCAAATGTATTCTTCATTGGAAAGAAAAACAAATTTTATCACTTCCAAAATAGGAAAACCAAAAAATGCTAGACTGATATAATATTAATGAGAAGGAATAAAAGTGATTGCTAAACCCACAAAGTTAACAGACAAGTCACTGAGTTCTGAGGAGATGAAAGCTATCCAAAAGAATATTTCAGCTTTCATCAGAACAGACCAGGTTCTGGTGAAATTAGTGTGCATGAGCATCTATCCTTGCAGATCCACATTTCCAAATTTAATTGGATTAATCATTGAAAAAATAAAAAGCAATGAGAGTGAACCTATTTTATATTTACCTGAGTAAAAATAGTAGGATGGTACATAATGGCACCTATCTCAGAAATCCAAAAGGGATGGCAGATTCATTCACACATGTGTCTGTCTAGTGGTTTCACTGAAGATTGCACCATACCTAGAAGTGAATCATCAACACACAGCTTCAAAAATATGTCATGCTTTTCTGGACAGCAACAAACAACACAAACCAAAGTGGGCAAGACAAACACAAGCAAACAGCCCAATATTAAGTACAAACAGCACACGGGGTGGAGAAGGTAGCAAAGTCCTGCTAAACTTCAAGACTACTAGGGCACCATAACCTCTGATCCGTGACCATGCAAGTAGGTCCTAGATCGAGATTACACATTCAGCATAACAGCGAAAACACTAAGCATGTTTTCAAACTTTTGGTGGCCCGTGAATTAATTTGGCATTTCTTACTCTTTGGTCCGTCAAGGTCAACACATAGTCTATCGAGGCCAAAGACGCGGTCCCCTGTCCCTGCTGTCACACGCTACCTGCTACACACTTGTTTACGTTCCACCCACACAACAACAAACGCCACCGGGGGATCCGCACGACGAACTAGAGATAATACTCCCTCCCATTTCCTGTTTAAAACTTAAGGGAAAGATATTGTTCCTCAAAGACCCCAACGCGTGGTGTGTCCAAAAATCGCTACGAGCATTCCACTATTTTCGTCATACGCTGTCGATCAATTTTGAACCCAGGTATTATTATCCAGCACAACTGACCGTTTCAGGCAAGGTTATGACAAATACACAGCTGCTCCTAAGGTTCTCGACAACCACAGTTCAGGACAAACGATTGCCAGAATTTTGGCGACGGGTCATTCTCAACAACGTGATTTATGAGGGACTATGTCATTAATACATACCCGTGGGCTAGGCCTGTGCCACAATTTTCTCAAGTGTCCTCGTCACAACACTTGACCAGTTTGCTCACTTTCACAAAATGTCAGAACTTCACCAAACACCTACTCCGAGACAGACTGCTTAGAATGTGGGGGAAAATACTTACGTAAATCAAAATCCAGGATTTGGGAAGTTCGAAGCCGATACTAAATTTTCACAGATCGCATCACTTTACAGGCGCCATTATCATTTTGATTTCCACTGCCTTCTAATAACCAGAAACACAGTGACATTTTTGCAAGCCGTTCTTGCCGCCACAACCGCAGCCGCAGCATCTTCCGCTGGAGCGCTACTTTCAAAATGCGTTTTGCCTTGGACCGATGTGTAGCCCCGTTAGATGGCTTCTGGAAAGCTTCGATGTTTCAGAGAGGAAATGGAAAAACCAAAGTCTTAATGACGTTTTGTAATCATTTTTTTTTTATTTTTGTCTTACGAAATATACAGGGATGCAGACAGCTTCACAAGTGGAGCAAACGATGAAAACTATTTGCATAAAGCTCGGATCTGACCTGAAGTAAAAGAAGTCATCTAATGAACTACATATGAACAAGACCTAAGTATAGGCGGTGAAAAATTATTCCACGTAGCAGCCCAGGTGAGTTTGGGGAGTGTGAGTGCACGTTTATATTTGGCGGGGCTGCAGGTGCGGCTTGAGCTTAAGTTAGTTGGCGTGACGAAGGAACCATAAGATATGAGCAAAATATCAGAAAAGTAATCCTATTTCATACATTCTATCACACGATCAATTCTTTATCGGATTGCGAGCCCCTCAAAAGCTCGGAAAGAACAAATACAGAGTCAGAAATGCCACACCGGTTGGTCAAACTGAACGCCAAGAGAAATGCACAGCCAAGGAGACGAAACTCAATAGATGCCTGATAACCAATACGCGGGAATCCCAAATCATTTATTGAATCCTTCAAAAGAAAGAAAGGAAATAAAGCGATGCCCTAGAAAAGCCCTCGCAATTATATTCGCGCTGAACCATTGAAGGTCTATACTAAATAAGAAGATATAACCCGTAGTCAGTGCCGCAAATCGACAACTCCCCAATCCATCACATTTCTTTACTTTACACGTACCGATTTGCGTTTTTAAAAAGCACCGTTTGACTGAAAACAAATTGTGTTTCCACGTTCTTGTCTTTATTTGATCATCTTGCCATTTGAAAGGGAGCATTTTGTCTCTAGAGCCACCAAATTCTGTTTTGTTTTACTCTCCTGTAACCGCCGGTGGCTAAGCAGAACGCACCTCGAACCTCGAACCCGAACCTCGAACGACGTCTTTGCCAATGACGTCATTTTGCTACGGGGCTTGCAGGGTCTAGTTGAAGGAAGCCGCACCCTACTTGATCTGTGTCTAGTAAACATTTAAGTTTTTGTGTATTCCTTCAAGAACAAGTGGTATTTTCAGAGCGATGAAATGATCGTTTGACTAATGCTGGAAGCTTTAGAACGCCGGTGATAGAGTTGGGCGCGGTCCTGGCCTCCGTCTGGGTGTGGAGTGGGACATCTTTGCTTGGTGCGGCAGGAAGCCAGGGCCTTGGAATTCCAAAAAAAAGAGGTGAGCAACTGTTAAATATTTTTCGAATGTTTCTGTGATACATCTTGTCTCTGCTTTTGTCCCTCAATTTGGCTAAGCTTTTTATTCTGCCGTGTTTTAAGACGAAATTCGTTAAGCCTTCCATGGCGCCTGCAGGATAGGCAGCCATTGGCCCGCTATGTCCGTTTATTACTGTCTAATGTCAGAAAAGAAAGGGTTTCCTTCCACAGTGCCTGCACTCCCTGTGCCAGTGAATTTAATTTCGTTTCGTCTTATTTTGGTTTGGCCTTTATAATGTTCTTTATGAGATGTGGGTTTGGTTAGGCCCGAGCAAGATCGTCGTTTAATGTTTATTTACAGTATATGTCCATGTTTTGTGCATATCAACTGTATGGAGTTTTTGCTCTAAAACATAGTGCTAAATCAAAGTCGTGCATATTGTCAGTCTGTGTGTTTCTGCAGGTATTTTGTGCCCTTGTCTTGTTAGTTAGGTTATGTTAGGGTCTTGTCAAAAATGCAAGGCCATTAATTGCTCTTTCTGTATGCTTGCTGGAAAAATTTCAATGTAGTTTTACATTAACTTCCATCCACTTTCTTTGTTTTGTCAGATATAAGCTGCTGATTCCTTGTTGTAGAGCTGTCTGTGTTTCTTGTAAAATGTAGCGTTTTCGAATTTCTGCTCTTGACGGGGTTAGTTTAGTCAGTCCAAATTATTGTTTTCTGTACTTGTCAGTTACATTATAGTATCAAAATGAATTTACACAGGTCCTAAATATTCCATCAAAATCCAGACTCTTGTTTTAACAAATAAAAAAAAACCCAAAAAACAATTGAAAAAGTAGGCAATGTTTTTCTTATGCCAATTGAACTTGTCTGTCTATCTGTTATTGAAGACTGTGGAAACGTGCTCAGGTCTGGAAATTTCTTCATTTGGACAGAGACTGAGCTGTGCTTCCTGAATAATTGTGTTAATTGTTAATTCAAATGTAATTTAATATCAAACATTGCCCACAATATAAATGTTAGCCTTCATTCATTTTATGATCATAGGCATGGATTTAATTGGTGTGTTTTTAACTTAATGACTGCTTGACACTGTCGGTCTTGCACTGGGGTTGTTGAAAGCTGCGTTAGTTGCCTTAATATATCAATGCACATCATACCCCATTTTGATTGTAGATCTTGGGTAATGAGTAAAATGTAGTGTATTTTCACTGAGTATCCACTTTAGTTTAGACCAAATGCAGGAATTTAAAAATATTTTTCTAAATAATGTTTTGAAGTTAACTTAGGAAGTGCTTCCAGTCTAGTAAGCACGGTGTGTTCTATTAGGAAGGAATGCCTCTCGACATGTGACGAATTTCTGCTCACACAAATCCACAACTCTTGTGTAATGAGTGACTTCTCCGTCATAAATTTTCTTAGTATCATGCGAATGCACCGAGGCAGGAGCCGGCTTGTGAGCTGTTGCTGTGCAAAGGACCTGAAGAGCGAAGGATCATTTGAGGTCCAAACTGTATCCCGTCCTTGTGACGTTTTTTTTTTTTTTTTTTCGCGGCCAATATTCACTATACCGCCTTTTCCCCGGAATCCCACTGAGTCGCCTTAAAGGAAGGTAAATGCCATACTTGGGCCTTGTCTGCAGCCCCCCCCCCTCCTTTTGGCTCTGGATCCGCCGCTGGCAGTGCAGTGCGGCCGGCACGCGGCCTCACTGTGGTACTATCACTAATTAAAAAGTACAGTGCGGGCGGGGCGGGCGGGGCGTCGACTCGCGGGGCTCTGCAGAGCAGCGCATTGCCAACGTTTTGGCGCGAAATAATAGTAGATTGGGCAGTGAAGTGGTGCCAACAGAGATGATAAAAGGTGTTCGGCCGAAGCGACTGACTGTACACTAGGAAGCTAGGAATCGCCCTGGAGGATTGGGGCGTTTGGCGCCCCTCGGGGCCTCGTGCTCTGGTCGCGCTGATTTGCTGGCGACGTCGCAGGACGCAGGGCCGTGCGGTGCTGTGCGCGCGGCCTGCCCGGAGGCCCGGAGGCCCGGAGGTGTGTAGACTAGGCGTGCTCGGCGTGCACGGCGTGCCGTGGGAACGTGGCCGGCCTGCTAGAAAGCGAGGCGGGCGGGGCAGGCGAGGGCGGCAAGCAGGTCGCCGACTAAATGCAGGTTTCCGGCCGCGACCGCGTGGGGAGCCTGCATGATGTGCTGGGCTGGGCCTCGGGCTGCTCCAGGCTGCCCCAGGCCCAGGCGTTGCCCTGGGGGGCTTCTGGGACCGCCGTGCCACCGACTGGCTGCAGCGGACCTGTCGGGTATGAACTCTGTGGTGCGTGCGTAGACGACCTTTCTGAGGAGCAGCGCCGCGCGATTTTATTTCGGCCCCAAGCAGACGCGTTGCATTGACAGATTGGCGTGCGTGGAAAGGAGTTGACGGACACCCAAATTTCATCGCGTTCCTCCTTAGGGAAAAACACTGCTTGGCGTAAACTGTCCACTCGCACCACTGAAACCTCGGCCGCTTGAACGGGGCGCGACGCACTGCATCCGCGGTGGCTCGGGCGCAGGCCAGAGCAACGGCTGTGAGTGGTTTGATTTTTGCCGCGTGCCGCAGTGGCGATGGTTGGCACGAAATGAAGCATACACTTGACGGCGATGTACGCTGCATACGCAATGAACGAAATGGTAATGTAAACGGGAGTGTGCGCCGGCCGCGTCGATGTTGACTGTATCCGCGGCGGCCAGATACTTGTGGAAATGGAAGGGCGTTTGTGGCTGATTGCGGCGCCCTGCGGCAGCAGTCACGTTTTGTTTTTGTTTTTCGTGCACTGGAGTCTGCCAGCCCTGCCCAGCCCTCTTAACGTGGCGCGGTCGGGGTTGCCTACCCTCACAGCGCCTGCCAAGTTGAGGGTAGGCCAGCCCGCCCAACGCGGCGCTGTGGGGGTTGCCTACCCTCACAGCGCCTGCCAAGTTGAGGGTAGGCCAGCCCGCCCAACGCGGCGCTGTGGGGGTTGCCTACCCTCACAGCGCCTGCCAAGTTGAGGGTAGGCCAGCCCGCCCAACGCGGCGCTGTGGGGGTTGCCTACCCTCACAGCGCCTGCCAAGTTGAGGGTAGGCCAGCCCGCCCAACGCGGCGCTGTGGGGGTTGCCTACCCTCACAGCGCCTGCCAAGTTGAGGGTAGGCCAGCCCGCCCAACGCGGCGCTGTGGGGGTTGCCTACCCTCACGGCGCCTGCCAAGTTGAGGGTAGGCCAGCCCGCCCAACGCGGCGCTGTGGGGGTTGCCTACCCTCACGGCGCCTGCCAAGTTGAGGGTAGGCCAGCCCGCCCAACGCGGCGCTGTGGGGGTTGCCTACCCTCACGGCGCCTGCCAAGTTGAGGGTAGGCCAGCCCGCCCAACGCGGCGCTGTGGGGGTTGCCTACCCTCACGGCGCCTGCCAAGTTGAGGGTAGGCCAGCCCGCCCAACGCGGCGCTGTGGGGGTTGCCTACCCTCACGGCGCCTGTCAAGTTGAGGACGACCTAAGTTCCACAGTAGTCCTCAAATAGGACTCGAACGAAGCGCAAGCGGTCCTTTGACCTACTGTGCGTCTCTTTGGAGGTGTGAGAGTCCACTCTGTCTCCTGCAGTGCCGGCTAGGCTCGACGGGTGTCTGTTCATCGCGCTCTACTGCCGACACCTCAACCTCAAACTCCCCCTTGCGCCACGGTTCTTGATTGGAGGTATCCGCCGTGTCTTTGCCTGGGCTGTGCTGGCGCTGCTGGCAGGTTGACTCCAGATGGGCGTACAGTGACGAACTGAACTTGGCAGTGCAGTGCGCGTCCGGACAGTCTCTGCCGGGCTAGCCTGTTGGGCGACGTGATTTAGAGACGGCCCCCTTCAGCCGCCCGCCGCTGCAGGCTGGGTCCGAAGAGTCGTATCGGCAGGTCGTCTCTGTCGCAGGCCTTGGGGCGTTCCGCAGGGGTTCGAGAGAGACAAACCGAGGGAATGGCTGGGCTGTGGGAGGGCCCGGCCAAGGGCCTGGCTATCCGGGGCCCTCGCCTGTTGGGCGACGTGATTTAGAGACGGCCCCCTTTCAGCCACCCCTCTCATCCCGAAGTGAAGGGGCCGGGCGGCCGGGGCGCGGTGCGGGGGCGGTGCGGGCGCGGTGCGGGGGCGGGGGGTGGTGCCGCTCGGGCAACGTTCGGCCGGTTCGGCTTCGGCCCCTGGCGGCTCGGCCCGCTCGGCGGTGCTCGCTCGTGTTCGTGCTGGTGGGGTGGAGCGCTTCGGCTGCTCCGCTGCTCGGCTCGGCAGCACGGCGGCCTGGCCTGGCGGCCCGCGGCTGCGGCTCCAACAGTTGACGGCAGGGCGTGGCGAGGCGCGGCAAGGCGCACCGGACGGCGCGGGCGACATCGGCGCGGACGTATCGCGGGGCTGCGACAAGCTGCGGCGGACAGGCGCGCCGGGCGTGCGGGCGTGGATGCGGGTGTGTTGGTGTGCGAGTGCGTGCGCGCGCGTGTGTGTGAGCTGACAAGTACGGCGGGCTTCCCCGCCCCAAGCATGCGTGCCGCAAGCAGTGCATGATAGGTGAGTTGGGCGGCGAAGGGTGGCTGAGGGCGGCCAGGTCGGCCCGGGGGCGGACGCGGAGGCGGCCCCGCCGCACGCCCTGCTCGGGGCCCTGCTCGACGCCCTGCTCGACGTCCTGCACTCAGCGCGTCGCCTGGCCAGCTCCGAACCCTGGACGGCTCCGCTTGGCTCCGCTGCCTCCATCCGGGTGCAGCCCCGCCACTTCTTCTCCCGCGGACTCGGGAATCGGCCTTGGAGCGTCGCTCAGTCTCACCCCGAGAGAGCGCGGAAGCGTGGGGGCCACTTGAGCGGCGGGTTGCAAAGATCGGTCAAGCTCGGGAAAATGGGAAAAACGGAACCAGCGCCGCCGTCGCCTGCTCTCCGCTGCACCCCATCGGCGGCGCCATCGGCGCCATCGGCCGGCAGGGGGCGCCCCGGAACCGCCGCCCACCAATCAGAATTTACGGGCTTTCAACTGTGCTGAAGCCAGA